GTCAGGTCTTTAAGGAAGACTTTTATTAATAAAATCAAGTGATAAGTGTGATGACAGCTTCTCCAGAAGTGCAGTCATGTCTTTCTTTTGTCTCTAGACCCTTCAGAAAGGGGTGTCCCTAAAGGTAGGGTTCCCAGTCATACGTCCTCACATTGTGGTTAAGTAGGTATGTGTGTGCGTGTGTGTGTGTGTGTGTGTGTGTGTGTGTGTGTGTGTGTGTGAGAGCACATGGCTTCTGTCATGTTTATTTTGCCATGTGCATTTTGCACAAGGCTTTTTTGTTTGTTTCTGTGTGCCATGTGCTCTTCTGTCAGACTTTAGTCTTGGCCCCGCCCTCTTGTTACCTTATATTGGTTCATTTGCCCCACCTGCACTCCCTCGTTACAACGATTTTTCAATTAAAAACGTAAAACTTTTTATGCGTTTTGGCCATTAATTTACACAAGAACAGCGTTTTGGGTGCCTGAAAACGCAAACTTTTGAAAACAGTCTCAGTCAAACAGAACATATCAACAAAAAACGCGAATCTCTGAAAACCATGATGTCATGCACATGCGTTTTACGTGTTCAATCTATAGTGTTTCGTCGCCATCTAATGGCCTGGCAGCAGAATACAGAGTTTTTAGTTCATTTTCGCGGATCCGTGTGATGTGAATGGGGATCGCTTTGACAATGGTGTCGTCTGTACGCGAAAATCTCAAAGGAAAAACTTCTCCGTTTTAAGCATATTGTTGTCATGTAAATGTACCCTTATTCTCCTTTTTTAGGCTACTCTGTCCTGTCTATGTTCCTCGTGTGGAAGCCTTGCTCCAGGGACTGTGTTTCACCCCCATTGGGGAGGTTTAATTTGTGTTTTATTTATTTTGGGATTAAATAAAGCCCTTCAAAGCTCTCTGCGCCTGAGTCCTCACAATTCTTGACCCGCACACCTGACAGAAATTCAGCTTTGCCATCACAGGAATAAATGACATTTTTAAAATATATTAAAATTTTAAATGTTAATAATATTTAACAATATTAACGTATGGGTTAGGTTTAGGGTTAGGGTTGTATTTTTGATTAAATAAATGCAGCCTTGGTGAGCATAAGAGATTATTTCAAAAAAACATTTTTAAAAATCTTACCGACCCCAAACTTTTGAACGGTAGTCTATATTCCATTTTAATATAATGACAGCATGAGATGTACACAAATGTACTGATTTTAAACAAATACTTATTTGACAAAATATTTACTGGAAATTATTAAAAAAATAAGTGTGCTCTATGAAGGTCAGCCTTCATATACAGTAGGTATATATTGTTAAATTGTTCATGAATAATGTATTTACAGTGCATGGACTCATCTTACATTGCCTTATCCGTTGTTTTATATGGCCTCATCATGACTCTGCCTGAAGAGCCAGATTCCTCAGAGACACTGCGGTGCGGAGAGAATCTATGTCAAAGGGCTCTCGTGTTATCTTACAGTAGAGATGAGCCAGCTCTACGCTCAAACCAGCTTTCTCAGAGACGAAACAAGCACGTAAAGCTGGTATGTAATTTCAGGGAGATCATTAAAAATACACTCAGTCTGTCCACAGTCAAGTCTCTTCAAGAACGGCCCGAACTCAAATGTGGGAAAGTAGTTTATAGACATGTAAATCCCACCTTTCAAAATGTCAGACAGTGAGAGACCAATCTGGCAAAGCGCTTCCAAATCACAACCTACTGACTTTCAGTAATATGTCTGGAGAAGAATAAATATAGTGCTTACATCTTTCATATCGTACTTTCAAATATCTTACTTTCTAACTAAATTGAATCCAACATTGAACTAAATTGAGCTGAATTAGGCACTAGGGCTGCATGATAGGAATTTCTCTGATGTAAATTGCACAATTTGGCCAAATATTTTGTGATTATATATCAAGATAATTATAAAATAATAAGATATTTTGAAAGCTGTATCCAATAAAATGTATTAAAAAAATAATAATTATAATTTTTTTTTTATATTTAATAGTTCTATTTCAAAATATATATATATAAAATAAATAAATAATAAGATATATAAAATAATTGTATTATATTATATCTATAATGATGCTTATTATTAAATAAAAAACATTAAACAAAATAGGAAATATTAGTATTGTAATAAATTTAAAATGAAGAAAAATAACAATTATCTAAGCATGTAAATGAACACAGTGCCGCGCTTCAAGCATTTTGCAACATTAAAGCTGTTATTGTTTTCTGTTTATTACTGTGCAGCTGCTTTGAAAACAATCTGTATTTTATAAAGTGCTTTAAAATGCTGAGTTTTAACGTTCAACAAAGCCTTGCCTTATAGACTTCTATTGTAAGTGCTGTACTGTAAACACAACTACTTTGCGTTAGTCAAAACTACTATCTGGACATTCAACAACTTGTATTTAAAAGGACCTAATATGATTTTTTACATTTACAACTTTCTTTAGTGTGTAATGTTGCTGTTTAAGCACGAAAAAAAAAGTTACTCCAAAGGGAGTTATTCTCTATATCAGTGCGCAGTTTCGCTGAAACGCCTTGATTGTAGACATTCAGGAATTTACACAATGCTCCTCATTTAAATAGTTCCTGCCGAAGGCATATGCAAAAAGAAGAGGTGGGGCCTGTTTGAGTAGCGTTAGTAATGTGTTGTCACCATGTCCTAGAAATGCTGTTTTTTCCACTCCGAATCAATCGAATTGATATAGCAAAACTGACGCCATTGTTAGTGTTTCCACCTGAGAAGCTGAAACTCACGGTTATGGTAAGGGGCGTGTCATCTCCGCAAACACGCTCGAAGTGGTTGACCAATCACAACACACTGATCCAGCCGACCAATCAGAGCACATTACGCTTTTCGGAAGGAGGGGCTTCATTGAGACAGGAACTAAACAGAGCGTTACTGACAGAGTGGAAAGAGAGGTGCTGAAACAATGTAAAATAAGTGAACAATAAAGGGTTTTTTGAACATTCAAGCATGAAAACCTATTCTAGTAGACCCTAAAAACTAAATCAAGACTTTGTAAAAGGGCGTAATATGGCCACTTTAGACCCAGTTTCCTTTATTTAGACTATAAATCTGAGTAGAATCCTCAAATATCGCTGGTCTCGGATGGTGATATCCCGTTTAGATCTATATTCCCAGGACATTCTGTTTCCAAAACAGAAGCTCCAATTTCACACCTGACTACATGGCATTGAAGCATGGCAGTGGTGTCAGCGGGCTTCAGCGGATGACATCACACACAAGAGCATTCAGCGCGTCCCAGCACGCATCACACCCTCCCTGCTAATGGGAATGCGCAGCTGCTGGGACGGTCAAACTCAGATGCCCTTGACTTAAAACACCCTGTCCTCGATGTTTCCATAAAACAGCAGGATCCGTAAGCAGATTTGCTCGCTCTAACACATGTGCGTCTCTCACGCCAGCCTCATATTGAGACGGAGGAAACGGATTAGCTATTGATTCCAATCCCGTTAAAAGCATTTCAGGTGACTCGAACAGAACACTGGATGCTATTGTTTGTGTGAGCGCAGAGCAGAAATGCACAGCAGGCTGATTTATCCTTTAAATTGGTTCAATGAGCGATATACCGCAGCACTGAATCGGTTTTAACCGAATCAGTAACTGATAGATTCTACCATACAATAAACATGCCGCCATCAAAACACTGTTTCACCAACAGACTTCACCAACAAACTGAGTTTAAGCGTTGAGTAGTATTTGTTGAAATCAATGCTCAACAAATCTCAGATGCTTCGATCAAAAAAATGCATCTGCAAATCTAAGAAACTGTTAAGAAATATTTGGATTATATTTCACTCCAAAAATCAAAATATAAAAAGTAAGAAACTGAGTAGTATCAATTAACATCATATACTTATTAGAAGGTTAGGAATAGGGTTTGGTTAAAGGTTAGTTGCATGTAATTATGCATAATTTACTGTTAATATGTAATGTGTAATAAGGACACATTATCACAGAAATGAGAATTAGATTTTGTTTTACATTACAGTTATTAGAAAGACATTTAATGTGAGTAATGAGAAAGTTATGTAGTTATATAGTTATTATATATTTATATTGGGCAGAATGTCTTGGTTGTCATGAAAATCATGTCCACATGCCAAAAAAAAAAAATCTTAAAAGGGTGCACATTGTAATTTTTGATGTTGTGCTGGTAGACATGGCACCATCTTGGACATTATTTGTAGTCATACCTGATACTTTTATTTTACAACTGATAGATGCATATAATAGGATGGTCACAGGGATAAAGCTAATAGTAATCAGTTGTCATGTGATCTAAATGTTTTATAAACAATCCAAGTTTGATTAGGCTCCTAGTATGGTTGGAGTCTCATGTAAGTTTGCATGATATTAAAATAAGTTTAACTATTTACTATTAATGTACTTACTGAATGCACTATAATTGTCATAAAAATTAGTTTCTTTGCATCAAATAGAATTTATTTTATCTTTTGATATTGGGGTGATATATGACCCTCTACGGTCATTTTATTTCAGTAAAGCATGCTTATTACATGCAATCATCAGAACAGGAAGGTTGATATAAGCTGCTACACTCTCTTTGTCTCTTTTTATTTTGCTGCGTCCTCTGAACATAAGAGCTACTCTCTGACTGCATCAGACAATCAAGCAAATGAATGCAGAAAGAAGCTCTCTGATCATCTACCAAGGGCACTTGTATATGTAAAAGAAGGCAAAACATATCTTCAAGTGGAGTAACAGTGGCAACTTCAGCATAAATGTGGAATCTGCACTGATTTTGAATCACCAAAGTTCAGTGCAAATCTTCATTTCCTGCCTAAACCAGGACCTGGCACTGAAACACTTAAGAACCCCTTCCACTGATATCAAGTCCACCCATTAGCAATAATTGTCCATTTCTTAGAACACTATTCTATTAGCTTTGTAGAGTTAAACAGTCCTCCTGCCACATTCACAGCATGAAATACATTTCGACTGTGAGGGAAATGTGCTCACTTTCTGTAGCTGACCCAGGGCTTCGCAGTCACGAAGGGTCTGAGCAGCGTTTGAACTCGACTCTCCCAGCACCAGAACGTGGGGTAGTACGTCTCCGAGACTACGGGGCATTGGTCTCTCAGGAACTGATGGAACTTTTTCCCTCCGGCTATCAGTATGGGTTTCTGCAAAAAAAGAAAGAGCAAAGGGATTGTTTTTTTTTTAATCTCGGAATTAAAAATAGTAGCCTATACATTTAAAATATATAACTAATAATTACTTTTTTTTTTAATCCAATTTTTTATCCTGATACATGATCATGATGCCTTTGGAGAATTTAAACTACTTTTTAGTATATGTATAATAACAATTATGGTTATAAATTATAATTATATTATACAATACAATTTTATATTATAAAATAAATATAACAATAGGCTATAATGATAATAATAGCATTTTTTATTAAGTATTATAAATGTTTTGTATTGTTTTATTATAAAATAAATGTAATAAAGTTGTGACATACAAATAATACAAAAAATCTTAGATCAAACTCCATGACACTTTAGCATCTTAAAGGGATAGATCCCCAAAAGGTGAAAATTCGGCCATCATTTACTCACCCTCAAGTTGTTCCAAACCTGCATGAATTACTTTCTTCTGCTGAACACAAAAGAAGATAATTTGAAGAATGTTCTTCAAAATATCTTCTTTTGTGTTCAACAGAACAAATGAAATTCATACAGGTGTGGAACAGGTGAGTAAATTAAGACAGAATGTTCATTTCTGGGTGAACTATCTCTTTAAGCCCCAAGCGACTTGCAAAATAATTTAACGCTATATATTTTTGTATGTGTACAATTTAGATACATTTGATTTAAAAATATGTTTATTTACAAAGGCTTTGATTAGAGAACTGAACTCGCTGAACAGTTGACATTTTTGTCCTTCTAAACATTTGATCGTCCATTATTATTTAATACGTAATAATAGTTAACCAGTGTTTTGAAAATTACAACACTAGTGGATTGCATTATTGTAAAATATTATGCAACGTGACTGCCTCAAAACTTATTTACCTATATTTTGCTACTGCAAAAATGGGGAAGGATGTTCTTCTGGCAATTTTCCTCCCTGTACATATGTTTCAAAATGCGAGAGAGTGAACAGTTCTCCTTACAGATTAAGTCTTTAATACATATTTCAAGGCGCATTATGACATTAATATAGCCTACGCTATGCACACGTATAGGATTATATTATGCGGATTGAGTGCAGAGAATTCTGACAGTGACAGGACTAAAATGACGTATAGCCCATTGCATTATGACATCATTAGCCGGCAGTCCTCGTGCACTGACTGACCCTGTCAGCAGCTGCAAATATACACCGCTGCAAATATGACCCAATCATGTGCACGAGCATCCGGATCACGCCATTAATTAATTTGTAAATTAATGTGAACGGTACCGACTCCGATGTACAGTCACCTTACCTTGGCCACAGAGATCAGGTAGTAGCAGGCATAAGCGGCGCTGAATCCGAGCACTAATGATAGTCCAACCCCAGAGCCGAATAGCTCGACTTTAACTTGGTTTTTAAGGTAAAGTGAAAGGTCACTCGAAAATAAATTAAAATTAAGCTCCGGTGAGATCATTGCCCTATAAACCCCACGGTTCCGGCTAACGTTATTGAGACGCTTGGGCTGCTGCTGAATGAGGATGCGCGTCCAAATACAAAGGTGAACGGAGACAGGACTTTAAATTGGGAGATGGGTGGCGCTCCGTGAAGCGAGTCAGTGCTGCTACCCAGAGAAATGCAGCCGGTACATGATGGGGAACGGAAGGAAGTCCAAGGGGGCGGAGCTTACGACTCGCCATTTCTTGTTCTTGTTATGATTGGACTGCGTCAATGTCCATTTAAAGTCACACAGTACAGTGCTCGTAAACGACATTGTGTGCCAATTATCATACAACATTATAAAAAACAAACAACAAAGAAATACGGCAGGAAAAATAAAAATAGGAACGGAACGGCAGGGGTGAAAACAAAGTTCTTGGTAGTAAATCTCACACAATTTTTAAAGGCTTTGGTTTTTTGGATTTTTTTATTTATTTAAACTGTCTCGAATGGTCTAATGCTGCCTGGTCTCGTCTCACAATAAAACCATACATGTGGGTTCATTTTACATTCAATGTATCCATAATAAAAATAAAAAATGTTCTCATGTGGACTACCTAAGGATAATTTGTGAAACCAAAAGGTACATTTTCACACCACATTAAGAAATATCAGTATTTACCAACAATTAGCCAAAACAAATGTAAAGTCTGTACTAGCAGGGATGCGAGCTACAGTGTAACATGATACGTGTTACTCTACGCAACGTAGAAGAAAACTAACCAATCAGAATCGTTTGGGGTTGCATGATTGGACATTTTCTATGCTCATTTTGCTGGCACCGCTTGCTTGAGTGAATTTCTATTTGCGTGTCAGGAGCAGGCTCTGATACATGAGGATTTGAACCGTGAAGTTCTGAAATGTACATATTGCATAAAAAAAAAAAAGCTAAAATGCCCCCCCCCCCCCCCCCCCCCCCCCCGCGCCTTTTGAATACGGCTTATCGGTCTTGCTCATGAATATTAATTAGGGTTTGTGAGTGGACGCTTAAGGAAGGTTACTAAGCAAAGTTACTAAGGTTACTAAACGTTTAAAGTCTATGGTCTTGCCTAATTAATATTCACGAGTGTCGTCCCATGTGTGTCTTCTAGTTGTTGACCTTAAACCAAGACAGGGCTATTAAGACATTTAAGTTTCTGCTATCTATATAAGAAGACTTCACATCTGGTTTAGAGAATTGGAAAACAGTAATAGCTGTAAAATGTGATTGTTTGTTACGTTATTAATGATAGTGAATAATAACTAAGGCAGATTTCGTGCTCGGAAACGATGACCTTGAAAAACCCCGTTTTTAATAAAAATCGACAGAAAAGCTGCAAAATCGCGCCCTCTAGTGACGACAGCGTTCAGTCAAAGCAAAACGATCTGTGTTGTCTTTCTTGTCTGTATTATTTAATTGGTTATTTTACATTTTTTTCTGCTTAACTGAAATATCTCTATCACTCTGCACTGTTCGTATATAATCATTTATTGTCTTTTCATCATAGAAATAAATAGTTAGAGAGGCTCCGCAGCCCGAGCTGTGATGATGCGTTTCAGGCGCGACATTAAAAGGGGCTTGATGGCTTGCATAGATATATATGGCTTGATGCTTGATAGTGCATTAATGTTGCTTTTAATACATTTTTTTTTAAATTAAGAAGTTTAAAATATTAAATTCGTGTAGTGAATAAAATAAAAAGAAATTACAAAAGTTACACCTTTTTAAAAAAATAAATAACATACAAAGATGCTATATTATTATTACAAGTCTATTATAACTATTGTGATTTTTTTTAAGTTTTTATTTCACATTCATAAATGGAAATCATGCCATTGAATAGAAATCAAATCTCACACAAAACGGTTTTTTTTTTTTTACAGTCAATGGTTGGAACGTTGTCTTGTACTATGTCTCAAAACCTAGGCGCGTTCCCAGTCTAAATTAGCACGCAGATCGCATTCCAATACACCCAATGATGTCTAGCTAGGAAGGTCACTAGGTTTTGAGACACGGCCATTGTATTGAGCTCAGTCAGGAATCTTCGCTCTTCTCTCTCATCTTCCTTGAGTCTGATTTTAAGGGAGGAGCCGTAACTCTCGGGAAGATCTAACGTTAGAGACTTTGGCTGAGGATAACAGCAGGTAGAGAGCTTTTGGAGTTATTAATTTTTATTTTTATTTTTTTTACAATTTTGAGGTATTTGTTTATGCAGAGAAATAGTTTGTATGTAGAGAGATGTATGTAGCATTGGGCTAACTGATCTTCGTCTACCCCTCCCTTCATCGTGTGTGTGATTTAAAGGTTGTGGTCGTCATGTTGTTTATCAGTGATGTAACGTTAGTATGGGTGTGATGGAGCTGTTCAATCTGAACTTTATTGGCTGGATGAGTGTATTTTGAGGAGGTTTTTCTCGCCTTGGCTAACTGGCTAACAGGATTAAAGCCGCTAGTGAACTGATCCTCATAAAGCTGACAAAACAAAATAACGCACACAATCTCAACGGTTTGAAGAACCGAGCCTTTAAAATATACAGTGGTTAATTCAAATGTTAAAAGCTACAGTGAAGTGTACTTAGATGTTGGACTTCAAAAGTCATTTCATCACTACTCTTTATTTGGTTAACGTACACTTTATTTTAAGGTGTCATTGTTACAGAGTAATTATATATTTAAAAGTAACTAACGTAAACGTACATGTACTTACTGTAGGATTTGGTTGAGGGTTAGTTGCATGTGATTATGAATAATTTACTGTTATTTCTATGATAAGAACATGTAACGTTAACAAGGACACTGTAAAATAAAGTGTTATCCTTTATTTTTACTTTGCACTTGGTACAAAACAACTACAAACGTGATTGTATATAATTGTATATATGTATGTAACGTACACACATACACGTGGTGTTTTTCATGTTTATTTTTTTCACGTTCTGCATTTTTACATTTTCAAAAAACATCACTTGATTTAGAAGCTGTTTTCCTACTTGGGGACCGAAAATAAAGGTTTTAGGATATGGCCATCTTTGTGGGGACATTTGGTCATGTTGTCCCCATAATTTAGGGTTTACCAGAACACACACACGCACACCATATGCATGTGCCATGGTATTTACATGGTACTCCTAAAAATAACCTTGGTATTATGTTTTCAGAAAGCAAACCATGTGTCTACTAACAGACTAGTGAGTGTTGATGTTCTGTGCAGTGTAATGTTAACCTCTGTGATCTGTCTTTAGGACTGAAGGACGGTTAATTATGGATTCAGCATCTCTTCCAGAACAACTGTCCGTTGTTAATGAACAGGTGCTGAACTCATCGGGCAGAGCAGTGACCGCAGCTGTGTGTCTGCGCCGCTTCCTCTGTTACGGCTCTGAGAGCGCCACATACAGCACTAAAGAGTGTCCTCTGGGTATGGAGAACGCCCTGTCCCTGATGCAGTTCATCGAGGGGGGACGAGGCTGTGAGGCGGTGGAGGAGATCAGACGCCTGAATCTGGAGGGCCGCGCTGTCCGTCCCAACCCCAGCCTCTTCGCCCTGGCTGTCTGCTCACAGCATGCAGACTGCAAGACCAGGCAGGCCGCCTTACGGGCGCTGAAGGAACTGTGTCGCACGCCCGTGCAGCTCTTCACATTTGTGCAGTATAAGAAGGATCTGAAAGAGGGCTCTGGGATGTGGGGGCGGGCTCTGCGGAGGGCCGTGACTGATTGGTACAACGGCCAGGACGGTATGAGCCTGGCGCGGGCCGTGACCAAGTGCAAGCACAGGGCAGGCTGGTCCCACCAGGACCTCCTCAGGCTGTCCCACATGAAGCCAACCAATGACGGTGAGTGCTTGTAAAATGGTTTGCTGTGGACAGCGATGGGTTTGTTTAATTCTATGGAAATAAACCATATATTGACGTCTAAAGGCACTTTTTGTAATGTCTGTTCAATGATTTCAACTGCCGTAATATAGATCAAATAAATGTGTAAATTATTGAGTCAAAATACATAGGCCTAATCAATTATTTAAAAAGGTTATTATTTTATAAATAAATCATGTTATTTAAAAATGATAGGCTAAATGATAATAAAATAAGTGATAAAAATGCAATGATGTATTTTTCATATCATATAATGTAATAAGATTAGAAGTAATATTGTTTATTAGTATTAACTGATCACAGATCTTTTTTTGTTGTTGCATTTACTTCAGCTTTTTTTTTTACTTCAGCTATGAAAAAAGGATTTATTGTCAGAACTAAATTTTTTATAGTACGGTAAACTGCAAAAAATGCTTCTTGTGTCAAAAGTCACATGAGGAAAGATGAGTATGTGTTCTTGTTCTCTACAGCTGTTGCTCTTGTTTGCAAATACATCACAAAAGGATGGAAAGGGGTTCAGGAAGCGTATGGTGATAAAGAGATATCTGATGATCTGCAAAAGGTTTTTGGATATCTGGAAGCTGTGGAGAAAGCCAAACACTCGACTGATGAGCAGGAGCTCGTTCATCTTATTGAGGAGCAGATGCTGGAAAAAGAGCACGTTCTGACCAACCACCTGAAGTCCAAAGAGGTCTGAACCACATTTCATTTTGATAAAAAAATTATATATATTTTTATAACAAATATGTTAGTTGCTATTTAATATTGCAGTGGTATTGAAATGGGTGTCAAGCATTGTGCCATTTTATTAACTACTGAATTTTTTGTGTTGTGACCAGTGTTCGGGGAAAGTTACTTACAGCAATAAAATAAAACACAAATGTGATGTTTAACTTAAGTAATTTTCTCTTATTAGTATGGTTGAATTTGATCATATAAGGTCAGCAGCAAAGACATTGGTTAATAAAGTGAGATTAAATGCATAAAGTATATCAGTCTTATTTAACATATTTAGTTATTGCATGTTTGCATAATATTCTTAGTTTTTTTTTTTTTTGAGCAATACGGAATGTGTTTTTGTGCAAGTGAGGAGTAAATGCTCACATTTAACTTGCATTACTTACTTGAAAAGTAACTCAATTATTTTGTTATACATTTAAAAGTAATGCATTACTTTACTAGTTACTTGAAAAAAGTAATCTGATTAAGTTATCCCCATCACTGGTTGTGACAGCCCTCGTTTGAGCATAGAAATTCAAAGTATAAAGTAATAATAAAGATAAACTACAAAAAAGAAACTGTAAATGCAGTTTTCTTGGCAGCTAATGCACATGACGAGCACTCATGAGGCTGAAAGCCCTTACAGAAAAACCACATGAGTTTCACATGTGCAAAAACACATGTGATCCCATGTGACAACGTGGACATGTGATTTTGCACATGTGAAATTTAACATGTGAAATATGTGGAACACATGTGCTTTGCACATGTTAAAGGTAATTTGCACATGGGAAACGTGTGCTTTTGGAACATTTTCCCATGTGAAACCCATGTGATTACATGTGAAACCCATGTGATTACATGTGAAACCCATGGGATTGCATGTGAAACCCATGTGATTACATGTGAAACCCATGGGATTGCATGTGAAACCCATGTGATTACTTGTGAAACCCATGTGATTGCATGTGAAACCCATGGGATTGCATGTGAAACCCATGTGATTACTTGTGAAACCCATGGGATTGCATGTGAAACCCATGTGATTGCATGTGAAACCCATGTGATTGCATGTGAAACCCATGTGATTACTTGTGAAACCCATGTGATTACATGTGTATGGAAGTAAAATAATCCCAAATGTTTTTGAAACAAAAAGCCTGTTGAATTGTATACTTGAAAAAAAATATGCATTGCATTAACCCTGCTTGTATTTTAATGCATTGTATTTTTAGGGCTTGTATTTTTATAGGCTGAAATTTAGCATGGTTGAATATTTAAGCTGTGAATATTTAGTTCATTAGTAAAATTTCAATAATCCATATTCACCTTTCATATTTCATTTCCCAAATATTCAAACTGATTAAAAATACAACCTATAATATTCAACAGGCGGTTTTCGGTACATTTTATTTCGCTTTGCAAATTCGCTTCCACAAATTCAGTGGTTCAAATTCGACAGTAAATTCAACATTGACATCCAGGAGCTGCAGGAAAAGCAGTAGATTACCGAGTATAATCTCCATCTGCTGTTAGTCGACCTCACCAGCAGGGGACGCAAGCGCGTGTTGTTGACGAAGACCAGAGCAACAGTTAGCGCAAGCCATTCATTCATAAAAACTCAGCATGCATTATGTTTTTTGTGACGATTATCTGGGTCAGTATATATGCGGAAAAGATGATAAAGGCACAAAAGCTGTTTTTATGTTTCATTCATTGTTACTTTCCCTGTGTAGCCTTATGTTATCAGCCTTTTCTACAGTGAACGGGATTATAATCTGTTTCCCTCAATACATCATCATACTCAAAGATTCCCCGAATTCCGTCAGGACAAAGCGCTTAACGTAGCTTAATGGACTACAGTGATATAAAAGACCAAACTCGCACCTTATTTGGAAAGTATGTATTGTACATGTACTGCATTAGATTAAACTGGGAAGTAGCACTTTCATATTGTTGTTCTATATTGTTAGTTTAACTAGTCGCTTTGGATAAAAGTGCCAGCTAAAAGACTAAATGTAAAATTGGGTTGACATTCGCACATTTAGGGACCGTCTCTAAAGTAACAAGTCCTATAGGCCTAAACGTTTCTAACTTCAATAGCAAACTTCAATCTATTTGAATAAATTGCGCATTATGCCTGAGCCTGACACCTACATGAACACTTTACAGTTGGTTTTATGACTGTAAGTCGTTCTTTTCAAATGGTATTTAAGTTAGAAACGTGTATACCAATTTCGTATGCAACTTTAGAGACGGTCCCTAAATGTGCGAATGTCCAATGTCAAACCAAATGTATGCCAGTATATCACTGGGAAACGCTCAGCATTAAACTTTGCGCGTTAAATTCATATTCTGAGTCCATCTGCTAGCCTGCGAGTTTGGTCTTTTATGTCCATTAAGCTACGTTAAGCGTTTTATATGTCCAGCAGGGGAATCCTGACATATTGAGGGAAACCAAACCCTAGTACTGCATGCAGCACATCGCTGCAATATAAGGTTAAGGCAACTAAACAACCAAGAGAAATAAATATGTCAAATGTAACACTGGATCTGTACATCCGCATCGAGGGAATAACATTATCGTTCATGGTAGAGAAAGATGCATGTAGGCTACACAGGAAAAGTAATCATGAACACACTGAATTTCACATAAAACAGACGTCATAATAATCACAAATACACTTACATTTTTGTAAATAAGTTTTTATGAATGAATGGCTTGCACTAACTGTTGCTCTGGTCTTCGTCAACAACACGCGCTTGCACCCCCTGCTGGTGTGGTCGACTAACAGCAGATGGAGATTATACTCGGTAATCTACTACTTTTCCTGCAGCTCCTGGATGTCAATGTTGAATTTACTGTCGAATTTGAACCACTGAATTTGTGGAAGCGAATTTGCAAAGCGAAATAAAATGGACCGAAAACCGCCTGTTGAATATTATAGGTTGTATTTTTAATCAGTTTGAATATTTGGGATATGAAATATGAAAGGTGAATATGGATTATTGAAATTTTACTAATGAAAATGTGTTTGAAATGATTTGATTTGAAATATTCACAGCTTAAATATTCAACCATGCTAAATTTCAGCCTATAAAAATGCAAGCCCTAAAAATACAATGCATTAAAATACAAGCAGGGTTAATGCAATGCATATTTTTTTCAAGTAGTACAATTCAACAGGCTTTTTGTTTCAAAAACATTTGGGATTATTTTACTTCCATACATGTGAAACCCATGGGATTGCATGTGAAACCCATGTGATTACTTGTGAAACCCATGGGATTGCATGTGAAACCCATGTGATTACTTGTGAAACCCATGTGATTGCATGTGAAACCCATGTGAATGCATGTGAAACCCATGTGATTGCATGTGAAACCCATGTGATTACATGTGAAACCCATGGGATTGCATGTGAAACCCATGTGATTGCATGTGAAACCCATGGGATTGCATGTGAAACCCATGTGATTACATGTGAAACCCATGGGATTGCATGTGAAACCCATGTGATTGCATGTGAAACCCATGTGAATGCATGTGAAACCCATGTGATTGCATGTGAAACCCATGTGAATGCATGTGAAACCCATGTGAATGCATGTGAAACCCATGTGAATGCATGTGAAACCCATGGGATTGCATGTGAAACCCATGTGATTGCATGTGAAACCCATGTGAATGCATGTGAAACCCATGTGATTGCATGTGAAACCCATGTGATTACATGTGAAACCCATGGGATTACTTGTGAAACCCATGTGATTACATGTAAAAACCATGTGTTTTTTCTGTAAGGGCTTGAAGGATGACAGTGTTGTTATTGGTCCCTTTCAGGTATGGAAAGCATTGCTAAAAGAGATGCCAGTGGTTGTTTTATTGAAGCATTTGGGTAAGTTGACAGCAGACAAGGTTCTGGCACCAGGAAGTCCGGATGTTGCAGCTGTTTGTGAAAGGATTCAGGATGAGACTGCACTGAAAAAGGTCAGGTTACAACAACAACAACATCATTTTAAGACAATAGCAGCATCCAGTAATGCTCCTTAGTTCAGTTATTTTGAAATCTTATCATTTATTCTATGTATAGCATTGGGACCCTTAAAAATCATGAATGTCTTTGCATTATATAGCATAAATCAAACTATGTGGCACCTGTAAACAAATCAGAACTAAGTTTTCGGAGCCATTTTCCAATGACTTTGAATTAACTGGTGTTTTGGTGATTTTTAGTGGATGTATGAAGTCAGCAAGTTCTCACAGGTGTCCTAACAGAGTAACCACAGGTGTAGTTCATCACATTAACTATGAACATTATAGTAATAATAATATATTTATTGTTTTATAATCATAAACCCTACAAACTTTTTTTTGTGAAATGGTTTGCTGGGAAAGTGTTATCTTTCTTTAAAATAAATGATGCTTTGCTTTGTCATTTTGTTGTAACAAAAATAATAATATTAAATAATATGTTTAACGTCTAATTTAGTGACATTCATACTAGAGCTGCACGATTCTGGATTATTGAGGATCACGTTTTTTGTGTTAAACAAGATCACGATTCTTGATCTAAATAAAATAAAAACTAAACTAAATAAAATAGTATAACATGTACATTTACTAGAGGTTCTGACAAAATGTTAGTTGCTTTAATTTTTATTTAAAACTGTATATATACATACATTTGGTTTAAATGAATGATTCAATGAATCACGTCTCTGGGCGAGAAGGGTATTCCTGCACAACCGTTCTAGGCCCCGACCCCAGTTCTAGGACCGCAGTTTCAGGACCCTAGTTTTCTGTTTCAGCGCTACCTACCGAACTGGATCACCAAAAACACTCATTTAACCCCTTTCGCGGCAAAGATCACAGACGGCCCCAGATTATTGTTGTTCAACATTCATTATTCGTTACATCACACTCTTACTTATTTGATCTGGACAAACTGAGCATCATTAGAAAGATTTAAGACTCCAGCTTCGATAGTTGACCACTGTTATAAAACTGGTTTGCAGTGACATTAATTTCTTCATTTATGACAGGAGAGCAAAATTATTAATCTGTAAAGTTAGTTATTTTGAATAGAAATCATCACTCATAAAGCAGTCATTCACGTCTTCTCCGGTTTATTTGTGTTCACATACATGCAATATACAGCACCCGCCAGCGTCTGTGTCAGTTATGATCTCAGCGCTCTGTTATTCGCTATACAGCTGTCAATCATCTCACCTGGTTCAACGTGACGCTCCTGTGTATGCTGTGTGTATACTTCCTCATTCTGACCTCCGTGATAACAAAGCTAAGACACATCTCTTCACCTGAAAGAAACTAATAAATGCACGATTTCAAGTATATATGGTTTGTGTGTGATTTAGGATATTTTCATATGAATAAAGAATGTTTACAGTATTGCTAAGCAAGGTGTAGCCATTAGCTGCATATAAAATGCTAAATATAACATATTTCAACATCTTTTTTGACTTAAAACCATTTTAAACCGCGACAGGAATATGATACAAAAATACTCGGTGGTGGTTTAAAGTGAGCTTTAAGTAAAAGTGTAATATTAATCTTTTAAATTGTGTCATGTAGCTTGATGCTACTTGCTCTAATCCACCTGCTGCAGGAGCTTTTCTATTCCATAATCTTATTTGTTAATATATATATATATATATATATTTTTTTTTTTCTAACAAGACTTAAGATAACGGTTGAGCAGGAACATACTACTGCTCTGGGCAGCCGCGTAAACTAACGTTATTGTTTTTCCGCCACAGCCAATCATGCTGCATGCTTATTGTTTCACTGACGTTGACGAGATTTGGTACCGAAAAACAAGACATGTTTCGATACTCGGTAGTATCGAGGCAATTCGGTCGGTACCTAAAAAGTACCGAACTCGGTACCCAGCCCTAGTTTCATACCTAAAAATCATAACTGCTCTCTCTGGATCAGCGGCAACTCGAACGCAGATTTGAATGTTCAGGTGTGATCTTATCAAAGGTTTCATAGACACAGCAGAGTCGTTGTTATTTATGAATGAGATCGCGTGGGTGTTTGAATAGAGATCGCGATCTTTTAAACGATTAATCGTGCAGCTCTAATTCATACATTTGAAAGTAAATATAAAAAGTCCAAATACTTGAATATAATAAAATATAAATTTCTACATGTTAATTTCCAATGTGTGTGCTATTTCAGGCAAAAACACAGCCGTTCAACATTCTTGTGGCATCTGAAAACTATAAGAGAGGTCATGGGAAGCGTAGCAAACTGAAATGGGAGCCGGACGGAGACATTGTTCAAGCCCTGGACTGCGCCTTCTGCAAAACTATTTCAGTGAGTGACACCTTGACGTAAGCTGTGTAACACATTTGTTTTCGAGATACTGTAGAAATCAAATTATGATAAAGGGATACTCCACCCAAAAATGAAAATTCTGTCATCATTTACTCAGCCCTCATGTTGTTCCAAACCTGTATGAGTTTCTTTCTTCTGCTGAACACAAAAGAAGATATTTTGAAGATCGTTTGGAACCAAACAATTGATGAACCCCATTGACTTCTATAGTATGGAAATAAAATACTATGGAAGTTGGTTTCCCATATTCTTCAAAATATCTTCTTTTGTGTTCAGCAGAAGAAAGAAACTCATACAATTTTGGAATAACTTGAGGGTGAGTAAATGATGACAGAATGGGGTGAACTATGCCTTTTAACCTGTGACTCTTTATGTCTCCAGACCATGGAGCCCACAGGCAAGCGTTTTTTGGTGGCAGTTGATGTAAGTTCTTCTCTGAGCAGCGTGACTCACGGCAGCTCCATCAGCACTGTGGCAGTAGCAGCGGCAATGTGCATGGTAAGACTACACCACTGCAAACTGTGCGACGTCTGTGAAGAGCCTTAAAGGAACACTCCGACTTTTTGGGACTTTAGTCTATTCACCTTATCCCCCAGAGTTAGATAAGTCCATACATACCTTTTTCATCTCCGTGCGTGCTATAAGTCTGTTTGACGCACCCACCGCTAGCCTAGCTTAGCACAAAGACTGGATGTAAATGGTTGCAGCTAGCATACTAATCCAAGTAAGTGACAAAATAACGCAAACATTTTCCTATTTACATGTTGTGATTTGTATAGTCACAGAGTGTACAAAAAACGAAGTCACATGAGACACAGACATATTTTAACCGTATAAATACTGGGAACTATATTCTCTGAAGGCGAAGCACTGCTACTTGGGCGGAGTGATAACCGCAGCACCTGAGACGTGCTCTCTGCTCCTCACCACGGCTCGTCTCAGGTGCTGCGGTTATCACTCCGCCCAAGTAGCAGTGCTTCGCCTTCAGAGAATATAGTTCCCAGTATTTATACGGTTAAAATATGTCTGTGTCTCATGTGACTTTGTTTTTTGTACCAGTGTTAATTTTGTCAGCAAATTTTGATTTAGTTTTAGTCTTAGTCTTTTGACTAAAATGCCATTTAGTTTTAGTCATATTTTAGTCATCTGAATTGTTTTAGTTTTAGTCTAGTTTTAGTCGACGAAATACAATAACATTTTAGTCGACTAAATCTACAGTAGATGTAGTCGACTAAAATATAATGGGTTTAGTTCAATTGTAATGCGTTAATTTAGAATTTCTCTAAAATTTCCAAACCCATATACTCCCGGAGAAAACATCTATTAACCTATTAATATGAATGATTTTTAAGTTTGAACATGCAATACAGATACAGATTTAACTACTGTGACTTAAAAAATATCTTAAAATGAAATAAAACCACTTTTCCTAAAGTACAACACAGTCTTCTTTACGATGAATGATATATTCATTCCTTATAACTACTTACACATCATTCTTTATTCTTTCAAGCAGACATATTTATTTGTATGAATTAAATATAATTAATCCTTATTAAAGCTATTAACAAACAGTCAATGCTTTTCTCTTTTTCTTTTGTTGCTTGATTAAAATTAAGGACACAGACCGCATTAGGTTTATTGCCACTGTCACTTTAAGACGTCGGATCATGTCCAATGACATGCGGATACAATTGCACTGATGCACATCCGACACACTCACAGTTTAAGACATAACCAGCATAGTTTACATGAATACTCTCCAAAAAGGACATTTAGACATACTGTTGTGTATTTCTCCATTCAGACACGAAAGAGAGCTCAATTCAGTAGCCTACTCGCGCGCTGTAGGTGTATTGTGCATGACTGCACGCTTCGGGTTAGGTGTGTGCGCACAGAAAACCGCACCGAATAAAGCTCTTTTTTGCATCGTCACTCTTATTCAGAGATCTATATGTCTGCTCTACTCATTCTCCCAGACGTTCACATTTTTTAACGTTTTATGACCGCGGGGTAGATCACGTTACAGTAGCCTACAAATGTGCGCATCTTCCACACACGCAGGACATCAGTTCTGACGGATCGCTTCCCAAATCGTCACTATCTAACATTTTCGTCTAGTTTTTATTCGTTGACGAAAATGTCAATAGATTTTCGTCATAGTCTTTGTCATTCAAAACTAGGTTTTATTTAGTTATCGTCTCGTTTTCGTCTGTGAAAAAATGTCGTTGACGAATAATTTTCGTCGTTATTTTCGTCAACGAAATTAACACTGTTTTGTACACTCTGTGACTATACAAATCACAACATGTAAATAGGAAAATGTTTCCGTTATTTTGTCACTTATTTGGATTAGTATGCTAGCTGCAACCATTTACATCCAGTCTTTGTGCTAAGCTAGGCTAGCGGTGGGTGCGTCAAACAGACTTATAGCACGCACGGAGATGAAAAAGGTATGTATGAACTTATCTAACTCTGGGGGATAAGGTGAATAGGCTAAAGTCCCAAAAAGTCGGAGTGTTCCTTTAAGTCATATTTTAAAGGGATACTCCACCCAAAAATGAAAATTCTGTCTTCATTTACTCACTACTCAAGTTGTTGCAAACCTGTATGAGTTTCTTTCTTCTGATGAACACAAAGGAAGATATTTTGAAGAGCGATTGGAACTTTGGCACCATTGACTTCCATAGTATTTTTTTTTTCTACTATGGAAGTCAATGGTGCCAAACAACTGTTTGGTTCCAAACGATCTTCAAAATATCTTCCTTTTTGATCAGCAGAAGAAAGAAACTCATACAGGTTTGCAACAACTTGAGGGTGAGTAAATGATGACAGAATTTTCATTTTTGGGTGGAGTATCCCTTTAAGCTAATATTTTGTCCTTGGAGAAAGTGTGTGTGGCTGCTGAGGTCCGCCCCACACATATTTCACATTCCTTGCATATTCCTTTTCTGACGGGACAATCTAGTCTTGTAAATATCAATGAATTGCCTCTTCAGTGCACTGCTCTCATATGCGAATCATGTAAAGAATTTTTAGACACTTTAAGAAGGTGAAATGTTGATTATATCCAACCAATCAACTAAAAGTCACAAAAGTCTTGATTTAACTGGGTTTGTAACCCAATTAAATCAAGACATTTGTGAATTTTTTTTAGTTGAATCGGGATAGCTCTGTATGCTAGTTCACTTCGAAAAAAGTGGAACATTTAGCAGATGCACCTTTAACCCTGTAAAGAAGGATGACAAATGAAATAATAATCAGAAAAAATATATATTTTTTAAAAATGTAACATAATTATTGAACGTTTAAGACCAGATAGAAAACGAATTCTAAAAATGATTTTTGCACATGTGCAAAATTTCTATATTTGATACATCAGGCTTTTATGGCTCATATTGTATGATATAGGACAATATGGAGCTCATACTCGAGGATGAAAAAACACCTTTTATTTAAATCCCAAACTGAGTAAAAAATACGCAATTTGGTGCAGTTGCTGATATTTAAATGGCCAAAAAGTAAGATAGAATTCTGAAAACTTTAAATCAATAAGATCTTTATAACTTTAAAGCTGACTACTTGCATAAAGATATCAGCTGTGACTCGATATTTGTCTATAATATGTCTTAGTAAGATGATATTTAAATGTTTCGTTTTATGATCAAAGCTCTGTAGTTTTAAATGTGGGGGGTGAAACATATATTGTAATACATAACAATTATGATTGACAGATAAACGTTTCTGACGTATCTTATTTAATACTCATATTTTAACATGAGTTTTCTTTGAATGGTGTATGGATAATCAAGTAAACCTAGGTTGCTTCTGTCCAGTATATGTTCATCTTGAAATATTGCTAACAATATAAAAGTTATTCTTATGTTTACTTTATAAAAATCATTAAAGATTTAACAGCAAAGAGAGACTTGAAGCACTACCTGAAGGTGGTCATTAAAAGGATATTTACTTAATAAGAAAAGTATAAGCTTAAAATAAAAATATCAAAAGTTGAACCTGGTTGCCTTAAAAAATTTGAGTTCATTGAAAAAAAAAATGTTAGTTAATGCAATGATTGTTTTAAAAATACAAACCCAAAATATCATGTTATCTGAACCACATTATCTACATTGATTTGATAAAAGATAAAATGTTGTGATAACATACTGTATCATGATTTTTTTTTTTTTTTTTACAGTGTACCAAATAAATGTAATGGTTCCCTTTTTATTTGCAGGTAATTGCACAAACGGAACGAAACGCACAGATTGTGGTTTTCTCTGAAGGAAGTGTTCTTCCCTGTACTGTCTCTTCTGATATGACGCTTATGCAAGTAGCAGCACAGCTCATCCAGGTAAGAACATCTTGAGATCTTGAGATTACATCTACTACATCTGTAATCATAATCTCCATGTGACTTCTCTCTAGACTCCTGGTGGCAGTACAGACTGTGCCTTACCCATCACTTGGGCCTCAGAGAATGAGAAAACTGTGGATGTCTTCATCATTTTCACCAATAATCAAACCCTTGGGAGGGAAAATCCAGCAGACACACTGAAGACGTATAGACAAGTGAGTACAACTTGAAAGGGAATGTAGAAGCAATGCGTTTTTACCTTATTACACTGTTATATTCTCTGCTGTCTGTAATATGTTTTAATAAGGCTGTCTATTTAACACAAATTTAGTGCAATTAATACAATTTTTATTATGTTTGTTTTGTATTTTAATATAATATTCTGATTTGCTGCTCACGAAACTTCGGATCATTTTTGATCAGTTGTGCTGCTTAATGTTTTTGTGGAAACCGTGATACATTTTATTCAAGATTCTTTTGATGAATGGAAAGTTTAAAAGAACCGCATTTATCTGAAATAGAAATCTTTTGTAACATTATAAATGTCTTTACTGTCACTTTTGATAAATCCAATGCTAAATACTTGCTAAATAAGTGTTAATTTCTTTAAAAAAAAAAATAATAATATATATATATATATATATATATATATATATATATTAGGGCTGTCAGTTAAACGCGTTATTAACGGCGTTAACGCAAACCCATTTTAACGGCGTTAATTTTTTTTATCGCGCGATTAACGGTCTTTTTGGCCTAGCAAACTTTGTAGTTTTTTTTCACATGCTTTTGCAACAGGACGCGGCATGCACGGCGCTGCGCTATGAAACCCATTCATTTCGATGGCTTGCGCTGCGCGAGGACGTTTTGTTGCTTCGTCGACCAAAGAGCAAGCGGATCTAGCTAGACCGGAAACAAAACAACAGGCACGACGCCCCACACACTTGTTTGGGCTTGCGAGCCGTATGACGAGCGCGAGACGCCGAAATGGATGCCAATAAGATTCTGAATGGAAAGTTTACTTTTAAAAAGTTGCCAAATGGTTCCTTTGACAAGACCAAAGTGATCATTTTGTCATTGTGAACTGAGCTATCGTCATCGCAGCACGTCCAGTCTGAAATACCACCTGATGGCCAAGCACACACACACAGCTGATGCGAATTCTCCGCCCCCTCGTCAATCGTCAGTATTTCTTTCACCCTTTTATTGATGGACAGTGTTACATTGTGTGAGAGATTATTTGCTCCAAGTGAGAATGTTAGTGTGAAATTGAACACAGTATATGCCAATGTTGTTTTCAATAAAAAAACATTTGCACAAAGCAAGCCGATCCACTTTTCCATGTTGATAAGAGCAATAAAATGAGAAAAAAAAATAATGGGACAAAAAGAAATCAAGAGACATTTAGAATAGATAAAAATGTGTGATTAATCGCGAGTTAACTATGACATTAATGTGATTAATCGCGATTAAATATTTTAATCGTTTGACAGCACTAATATATATCAGGGTTCCCGCGGATCCTTAAAAAGTCTTAAAAAGTCTTAAATTAGATTTGTAAAATTTAAGGCCATAAAAAGTCTTATAAAGTCTTATTTTTACTTATGAAAGGTCTTAAATTTTAGATGACACTTTGACTTAGACATATCTAAAAGCTTTCCAAATTAAAACCATCTAATTAGCGTACGTATTTTTATTTATTTATTATTCTATCTTTGTGGATTTGCTAGTTCACGTGACATTTCGCGTCACTCGCGAGTCGCGGCAGCATAACTGTCTCCTGCACGCGAGAGGAGAGAAAGAGAAGAAAGGTCGTAAATGTCAGTTCAGTTGTAAGTTCATTCTTTATGTGCGTATGGTGTGCGATGTGTATTGTCTTTTATGATATTGTAATCATTGTTTTAACAATGTACGAGGCACTGCGAGCTGACATCGCATTTCTCTCGTGCTTTCACTGCGTGATGTGTGCAGTGTAACTGTTATGTCCCCAAGTTAGTTTTTGTCTTATATTTATATCATATTATGTTCTTATATTAGAATATCACATCAGAAAGAGTGCCGTTTTCCCGTGCACAATTCCAATTGTGATATTTATGTTATACAACAGTTAAATTAACAATAAGTTAACATTGAGTTACTTTTTAGACACAATATTGTCAATATTGTTTGTTTTCCCTTTATTTCGCCGACTATAATTTCAAAATGAAACCGTAGCAGAGTCTCAATGCAACCGACAGCGATTATTTCTTGACTGAATCCGCGTTTTGAACGAATCACTTGCTTCTTTCCCGAATGAATCAGCCGTTTGAACGAATCGGTTGAATGAATGACTCCCTCAACTCACTTATTAAGACAGTGATTTGCCGCTGCGGTTTCATATTTAAAGTACCCTTTAAATAAAATGCTACAATTAGAAATCATTTCATATTTAAATATTGAATATTGATTTAAAAATATATATCTCATAGCTTTATTTATGCAGTTGTAAATGGAGTGTAAATAAATTAATGCCGCTTCTGTCACCTCTGCACTGCAAAGATAGATTTTGATTGAATGATTTAATTTGACTGTAACAGTGGTACTGTATTATTATTATATAATTAAGTATTATTGTATAATTACTGTATAATTTAATTTGAATGATAGTATTTGACATTAAAGGTGATGCATAACTCTAAATAAGTTTAAAAAAAATGTCCATATATAGGTGAAAATGCCCCTGAAAAAATCAATTTAAGGTGGCAAATATTGCCCCTTAATTAAAATATTAATTTCTGTCAATGCTGTGAACTGACCACTGCATAGAATATGAAAAATATGAATATCTTCGTGAGTCAGCTGTCAACAACAGACCTAAACCAGCCATGGCACCAGCACAAAAACACAATCAGTAAAATATCATCTAATTATTATCAACAAAACGTTGAAAATATCAATATATATTTTTGTCAATACTGCACAGCCCTAATGTACGGTATTAATTTTGATTTCTTCAGGTCTTAAAAAGGTCTTAAAAAGCCTTAAATTTGACTTTCAAAAGTGTGCAGGAACCCTGTATATATATATATATATATATATTTCTGACCCCACCACTGTATACAATTAGAGTAATTGGCTTATCATGTGATAATTACATTTTTAAATCAATTTGAAGTCTTAGATTTGGTAATAGCTATAGGATGTTCATCATTTTAAAGAGAAAATGTCATGTTTGTGTTTTGTTTTTCTTTCTTTTTTTAGAAAAGCGGTTTATTTTCCAAGCTGATTGTGTGTGGAATGATTGCCAACTCGCTGTCCATCGCTGACCCTGAAGACCGTGGCATGCTGGACATCTGCGGCTTTGACTCGCAAGCAGTCGATGTCATCCGTAACTTCGCACTTGATGTCATTTAAATCTTTTAGGTTTTGTAGCATGCAGCCAGTTTTCTGAACAACAACAAGACATTGATGCACCCCACATCAACATGCAAAAAAAATAAGACAGATTTTGCATATTAATTAGATAATCACGTCGTTTGTCTTTACAGCCTGGAATCAAGTCCAAGTGTAATTCAACATCCAGCAGGCTGGATTAGTTGAAGGGAAAATCAAGGGGAGCAAATGAATGAAGTAACTGATCTTTATTCAGTATAACTATGTTTTTTAAACCTGGTCTAATGAAATGTTTGCTTCTTCCCAAGAAGAGCATAATTGAATGTCTTTTACACCGTTTTTAAGTTATAAGTTCATGTATGTCACTGACCTTCATTGGAAGTAATGTTCTGTTTTTTAGAGGCCTTGCTCATTGTGTAGTCTTCATTCATGATTTGTTCTGTGTAATGAGTTGTTATATAATAATATTATATATAATATCATATTGCACTTTGAGCTGAAAGTGCACAGATAGCTCTTCCACTAAAATATTTGAGAAATATGAAGCAAAATACATTTGCAAGTTCACTGAATTGGAAATCGAGCAATTTGATGTTCTCAGAAACCATGTGGCCTATGTTTACACGACAATGATGTGCTAAAAATGGGAACGTTTTTCCTTTGCGTTTTTCGTGTACAGGCGACAACATTGTCAAAATGGTCCCCGTTCATACGGATCCTCGAAAACCATTAAAAACGTTTTATTGTGCTGCAAGGCCAGTAGTTGGCGATGACACTTTGTAAAGAAATACTACACACCTATAAACACATAATACGCATGTGCATGACATCACTGTTTTCACACATTCGCGTTGTTTTTTTGTTTGTTTATGCAGAAATGATAATGGTACAGTTTTCAAAAACGTGCACTTTGAAACCTGTTTTCAAAAGTTTGCATTTTCATGTAATCGTGTAAATGAATGACCAAAATGCATAAAAAGTTTCCTTTTTTAGTTGAAATCAGTGTCGTGTAAAACGCCCCTTAATTACTAGACTTGTTGGTAAAGTTTAATGTTAAAATACCTCTTGTTTTGTGGTCCAATATAACTTGATATTTGATGTATGAACGCAAATAACTACTTATTATGATTGAAGAGAGGCTTGACACTTCAGTCTATTTAAGACTTAACTTAATATTTTACAGTTAACTGTAGTGGACTTTTAAACTTAATACACACACACATATACAGTGTATATAGATATTCCAAATTTGAGAGAAAAATAGGTATATACATTGAATGGTAGAGCTTGTAAATGGATCTTGCTTCTAGATTCATTTATGTGTAGAAAGTTGCCTTTTTGCATTTTCTGTTGCTCATTGTAAGGTCAAATCAAGGTTCTAAGTTTGCTAACGCTGCTATAATAATTATGTAAAGGAAATGTAGGCACAAACTAACAAACACTAAAATGTCTGTAGACAATTACTACCTGTTACTTTTGAGATGCAAAACTGAATGTACCTTTTGTTTTATTTGTGTAATACTATTAAGTTATTTTAGATGTAGACCTCTTGAAGAATGTGATAAATAAGTATGACAAATAATGAAAGACTTTGGATTATAAAAATTGAATAGAAATTCATTTGCTATGGTTTTATTGAATTTGCTGATTTAGTAAAGGATAGCAAGTATATAATTTTTTGTTTGTATTGTTCAATACATTTATTATCATAAAGTGACCTTATAGTGTTTATTAGCACAACACTATAAAATAGTAGAAAACTGAAAGTATTTTAGTCTTTAAAGCCAAAATTGCTGTTGAAATTGATATTACACGTTTCCTCTTGCCAATTAGATTGTCTAAAAAGGAGATTATTTTCTTTTAATAACACATTAATTATAAATTAATAAAGAGCCTTTTGAGAGTAATTTGTTTGTGATGCTTCTTAATTCTGTCTGAAATGTTACTATTCAGACTATATCTATAATTTAACATTAATCAATCATGTTATTGTAATCGAGTCTAGCAAACTGAATATATATTATTAGTAGTAGCAATACTATGTTAGTTGCTAGTAGTGTCAATAGTATTTTTTTAGAAAACATGATAGGCTAAAAATAACAAAATATAGAAGACAATTAGGATCTGAACTACTAAAGAAAGACTTGACAGTGTTTTTCCCAACGACATTACAAACAACCATAATCACCTTAATGTAAGAGATACAATGAATAAAGCAAAGACACTCTTCCTGGCTTAAACAAAATATAAATTATATAGACTCAAAGTTATTAAGGTCTTTCTGAAGTTATGTGAAATTGAGTTTGAGTTTGTATTAATATAATGAAACCTAAAATGCATTTCTTTTCTTTTTTTGGTAACGTTTATGACAGTGAACTAATAGCTTACAGTTAATACTTGACAGAGGCTGTTCGATTTAGATGCCCCGGATTTGCCTGACCTGTGCATGCGATTCTTAAATACTTTTTAATACATAACTCCTATTCGCTTGTGAATAATCCATTTACTGAATCAGCTTATATTGTCCCTATTGCGGTTGAAGTTCAACAAATACGATTTTCAAGCTTATAAATGCATCAATTTTACATAGGCACTATTTGTAGCAGTCCTGTGCTGAGAAGTTGCGGGGTCTTAAATAAAACACTCGTAATGAGGAGGCGCGATCATGGCGGACGTGTTGAGTGTTCTTCGCCAGTACAATATCCAGAAAAAGGAGATCGTTGCAAAAGGAGATGAAGTTATTTTCGGAGAATTCTCCTGGCCAAAAAATGTCAAGACTAACTATGTCATTTGGGGGTATGTGTGCGCTTGTTCTGCTCAGTTGTTCGTGTTGTTTTGAGCTGAGCTGCTTTAGCTGCTAATGCGCTACTGATGGACTCGTGTGGAGAAACTCCTGTTGTGTTGAAATGCTCATGGAAACGAGAAGGCGTACTGTATCTGCAAGCTAGTGTAAATGCATATATAGATACCGATAGATTATAACTACTATTTTGGCTGTTGCTTAAAACCCCACTGAGTTGTTTTCCTAGACAACATCGTAGGCTTCACTGATGCTGCGCGACAACTTCTCATTTGTTACTGTTGAACCATTGACATTTAGTCTGAGTGAGAGTTTAAAACTTTGTAATCAATCACTAATCACTAACTTGGTATCACGAAATAGTATCTAAAAACGGCAAAGTATGGTTTTTGTGCGTGCTATACCGTGAGGTAACATGTAAATAACACCGAGCATGGATATTTTGAGACGTATAATGTCTCAAAGTATTAGAATATTTCCAACTAATACTTTCACTGTACCATGGGAACCACCACAATCTTTTTGTAAGGTTCTGTGCTGTGCCCTATCTAGGGTTCATACAAGGTTGTTGCGTTTTGTAACGTATTTAGGTGGAAATGTATGTACTTAATGAAAGGGTAAAAAATGAGGTTGCAGGTTCAGTTAATGTTAGTTCTTCCTCTTTTTTTTGTCTTTTTTTTTTTTGTCTGGTAAATTTAGCTGTCACCAGAGAGAGCACTGGTCAAAGATGTGTTACTTCTCGTGTACAGTTGGGGTAGAAAAATTGATCCACAAATAATAATAAAAAATCATGACCTTACAATCCCACTTTTCATTTAAATGATGCTGATGTTATATAATAAAAATGGCTAAATAGACTTTAACCTTGTTTCATGTATGCATAAATAAATGTATATATGACATGCCATGTCATTACAGAACTGGAAAAGAGGGACAGCCTAAAGAGTACTACACTCTTGACTCCATTCTTTTCCTGCTCAACAATGTGCATCTTCCTCATCCGTCCTATGTGCGGAGAGCTGCAGTGAGTAAAACGATTTTTTTTATAAGTACTGTATGATTTTTACCATGGTTTTTTTTTATCTTTTAGATGCCAAGGACCTTCACATATGATTATTTTCATGCAAGGGACCCCATATCCTTAAAGGGGTCATATAATGCCATTTTATACAAGTTAATATGATTCTTTAGGGGCTAAATGAAAAGTTTGTAATATACTTTAATTAAAAATTCTCATTAGTATTGTAAGAAAACACTCATTTTACCTGGTCAAAAACACCTCTGTTTTCAGCACGCCGTTTCAGTGCATGTGTCTTTAAATGATAATGAGCTTTGCTCACCCCACCCGTCTGTTCTGTGGGGCGTTTTGACACAACACACTTGGATTAGAGTATTTATAGTCTTGAATCATATGCATTTGCAGGATGTAAACAGTATTTTGCAGGTATTGTGTTACCATTCATCTTCATGCAGTTATAACTGTTTTTTGACATTACTTCTTAATCAGTAACAGGTTATAAACCATCTACAAAAGTAAGCTTAGTGTAGTGTTACCACGTTAACTTTAACACCTGTGTACACAGTTTGTAATAACACAATAACCATAACGCGTTGTTAAACGTGGGATTATGAATTATATTGAGAGTGTCGTACATAGAAAACATGCCGTATTGTACCCTGTCCCTGAGTGTAACCTTAGCCGCATTCATCGTGAAGCGTGCAAGTGATTTACAAAGATTAACATAAAGGTTAATAAAACTTTACACTCACTTCTTTTGGAGGTGCAACAGGGACATGAATAGTTGGTACCGATTCTTTTTTCAGGAGCAGCTTCTTAGCAAAACCAGCTTTATACTGATCCTTGTTTATAAAGCAGTCTGGTGAGAAATGAATCGCGCAAACATGAAAGCATTGACGTTGCTCGTGGGGAATATTCCCTTCGAAAACAAAACTCAGCCACTGCGTCTTCAGCGGTTCGGATTTAGGAACATTAAAATGACTGTGTTCGTTATTACACCCAAGAACAGAACACCACAATCGCTTAGACGCCATTCAGCTCCAGCGTATGAACAATGGCGGACTATGATGACAGCTCGCTCAGGGCGGGTCTGTGTTGAAACGCTGCTGTCAATCAACAATCGTGGGAGGGGCGTCCACACTCCATCCACATTGGATGAATTTTTATCATTATAGGATGGTTGTGTACAGGCACTGCCAACACACATTTCAGTACAATCAACTTGTAAAAGTGCATGTACCATTATATGACCCCTTTAAATGCAGGTTTTAATTAAAGATTCATTCACTGTTAGAAACTGTCTTCATGGTTTTCTTTTATAATGTAGAATGTTCACATTTTGCATAGTTGATTGTAAAGTAAAAGGTAACGCTGTTTCTCGGATTGCAGACAGAGAACATCCCTGTTGTAAGACGACCCGACAGAAAAGACTTGCTATCCTATCTCAATGGAGAAAGCTGTAAGTGTGATGAGAAATCACAGACGTTACCGTATTCAACTCATTACTAAAGCAACATAACTATTTATCTGTTTGTAATTAAAGTGGCATTTAATAAAATTTTACAGCGTCCTCAACGAGTATCGACAGAAGTGCGCCCATTGAGATTGGTCTACAAAGGCCGACACAAGGTGTGTGGATTTTTCTTTTGAGCATGCTCTTGTCATTAAAAAAAAATCAGCATGCTTATATGATAAAAGTCTGAAACGTAGTTTGAAAAAGTTTTGTCTTTAAAGATTTGAAGTAGTTAAAAGTCAAGAATCACCCATTTACTGGCATTAATTTACAATTGTTTTAACAGTTAAAAGGGCAGCGGATGAAGCGTCGTCAGAGGCTAAAAAACCTCGGGTTGAGGTGAGAAACATTGAAACAAGTATTTCTTGGCTTTCCATCTAAAATCGTTACTTGCGTTTATATTGCTGAAAAGCAGAGCTCTAAGATATAGGATTCTAATTTGTGATTTATGCATGTGATTCTCAGGATGAAGAGCGTGTGCGTCTGGATAAGGAGCGTCTGGCGGCTCGTCTCGAGGGTCACAAGGAAAGCATTGTGCAGACGGATCAGATCAGGTATGATCAAGTGTTTTAAAGTGCCCCTTTTATCCTTTTTCCGATATTACCTTTCATGCTGTGTGTAATATAGTTGTTTGTGAATGTAAAAGCTCTTTCAAAGATCAAAGTGCAGATAAATGGAGTTATTGTCTCCCAAAAGAAAAAAAATGATTCTGAAATTCCTGAAACGAGTCGTCAGTAATTCCAGTCTTACTTTCTGCACGAACCTGCATGGGTTTCACAGATTTGCATAATGCCAGTCTTTGGTCTTTATTGGCTTCTCGTGAACAACGTCTACTTTGACCCTCAAACACTGTAAAGGTGAAACTAAAAAAATTTGAATCTGCTCGGTTCTGCAAAACATGAACCTGCAAAAGTTAATTTATTTCAGTAATTCAACTTAAATGGTGAAACTAATATTATATAGACTTATTACATGCAAAGTGAGATATTTCAAGCCTTTATTTGTTATAATTTTGCTGATAATGGCTTACAGCTTATGAAAATCCCAAATTCAAAATTAAAATATTGTGAAAAGGTTTTCATAGCTGTAAGCCATAATCATCAAAATGTCTTCAAAAAAGGCTTGAAATATCTATTTAGCCTGAATACAAAAATAATAGTCTCAGCATTAAAATTAATGTAGCCTATATGACAGACTTGCACTTAACTGTATTTTCCTTTTTTTAAGTGATTCCTATTATATTTCAAGCAATTCAAAACCATCATGGCTAACAGTGCCCATCTGAAGTTTCTCAGCTGAAGGAAATAAGCAGCCAAATTTTCTTATCGGCCAATAATAATATTAAAAACGAACATATATCTGCCGGTACCGATATGGTGGCCGATATATCGTGCATCCCTAAGGAGAAACACTGTGCGCAACAATACACTCAGAAGGCTTTTCAATCTGCAAATCGCCATGGTTTTAACTGGGGTTATCTTGATCTAAATGTATGCGTGCCCAATGAACAATATGGAAGACCAGTGGTTAATTTGAATAAAACTCAGTCAAAATATTTAACTTTTAATATATAAAAAATGTGGTTGTTACCATTTTTACAGTTCAAAATGTTCATTTTACATTTTATTAATAAACGTACAGTAAATTTACATCTGCATCCTAACTCAAGCTACTGACAAATGTACATTTCTAAGAGACAAAACATATAATATTATTAATATTGTAGCCTGCACTGTAAACCGTACCGAAGATATGCGTCATCAAAGTCATGCAACATAAACCTTTTGCATGACTTGAAGCAATATAACCCATTAGGACATGCAGAAACTAAGAAATATTTTTTTCCATTAAGATATTTTATTTTGTTTCATATTGGAATCTGTCTGTATTTTGTATTTATTTTTTATAAAAAAAAAAAAAAAGTAATTTGTTTTGATTGCAATTTTATTACAAGGATTAGTGGCCTGGCCCGCTGGAGGGTTGGGGGGTGCAAAGGGTCAAAAAAAAAATTTTGTTCTTTTTATTGTGAAGAAACCTTAGGATCACATACAATTGCTTAACCTCTTAACCGTTGCCAGAGCGTCGGCGCACTGAAGCGTTTTTTTTTTTATTTAGTTCAAATATACTATCAGATTTAATGTTATACCTTGACAAACTATACATCATTAAAAAGATATAAGACTCAAGATTCAGTATTTGACCACTATTGTATTCTGAGAAACTTATAGTGACAGTTATGTCTTAATTTGTGTCAGGAGTTATGAAATGAAAAAAATGAGTCGATACCTTTAATATGAATTATGAGCGTCAGCCGGTCCATTCATAAAAAACACTCCGTGCTGTCGTCATGACAGCGATTCACAAAACAACGTCCCTGAGGGCTTTTAGCTCAACAATGTGCAGATGTGGAGAAATATTGATATATTGTCATAGATTCACATCATATTTCTATAGATAGGAATAATATTTATTGAATTTATACCCAAATGCGTCGATGTAATCATTATGATCGCTTCTTACTGAGATGTGCTGTGTTTTCCATTCATACCAATAGCATGGGGGCGCTATTATGTCCAATAAAAGTCCATATATGGATCATGAAGAAGACCCATAGTCATGTGACATTCCAGGACGTCACTGAGTGATACAGAAAGTAGCTGACAGAGATCGCTGTAACATGCAGATAAAGATGTTTTGAAGACAATAAACATGATTGCAATGATATTTGAGTTACCTGTGTTCTTCAAGCCATGCCAGGTATTTCATAATAATAGATTATATTTATAATGTAATGCTAATCGATATAGATTTCATCATCGTTCAGAACACTAAATAATACATTTTCTGTCGGATTTTTTTTTATCTGAAGCCAAGTTAGATCACAGAAGATTATTTAAAACACTAGACTTGCGTTATATAGTAAGTTTGGAGCACAAACATGGTTTTAATCTCATAAATGGTCGTGTATTGATGGTGTGCTAAGCTAACATGCTAGCTAGCCCAGGTGCACCTGCTAACAGCAGTTATTGTTTTATGATTTTTTTCTAAATAGGAATGCTTACTGAAATGTTTCAGTGCATTTGATACCAGTTTCAAATATTTAGTGAGAACTTTGATAAAAGAAATTAGGGTTTGAAACCCTATGAATAGCCTGTGAATAGCCAGTCGTTAGTAGCTATAATGCAGACAAAAGAAATGCATATTTAGAGCCATAATAACCAGTCTGGAGAGGTGTAAATGTGTGCAGGGGAGACTGACACTGAATGGGGCACCACAAAACAATAGAGACAATAGACTGAATAGATGACTCAGAAGATGACTAAACATCAGTTTGCTAATAGAGTCTAATCAAAATAAAGTAATTTGACATGATCTTGAAAAACATTTAACTAAATACAGATTTTTATACTTATCATTTTCAGATTTTAAATATAAAATGGTCAGACATGTGGCTTTAGCTGCAGTGCATTTCTAGATTGCTCCAGGGCCAACTTCAATTTTATTTTCATGAAGATGTTTCATAAAAATAAATTTCTAATAACTTTACAAAACTTTGAAGCTATTTAAAATTGTTTTTTTCATTATGACAATAATTAATTCTACATTTACAATAAACAACCAGGTGTCAGCTTTCAAATGAGATCATACTTGTGCTTTTAGTGCAAAGGGTTCATGAACTGTATCTGTTTCAGTTTGGGTATGTCATTTCTGGGGATTTTTCAAAAGTGGGCTTGAAGCTTAACAGGTTAATCTATGAAAAATCAATTAATATTGATCACAAAAAAATATATTTTATATTGTTAAAGGGATACTCCACCCAAAAATGAAAATTCTGTCATTTACTCAAACTCATACAGGTTTGCAACAACTTGAGGGTCTTTCTTCTGCTGATCAAAAAGGAAGATATTTTGAAGATCGTTTGGAACCAAACAGTTGTTTGGCACCATTGACTTCCATAGTAGAAAAAAAAAATACTATGGAAGTCAATGGTGCCAAAGTTCCAATCGTTCTTCAAAATATCTTCCTTTGTGTTCATCAGAAGAAAGAAACTCATACAGGGTTGCAACAACTTGAGGGTGAGTAAATGATGACAGAATGTTGATTTTTGGGTGGAGTATCCCTTTAAGGAAAAACGACTGAAAAAGTGTAAGGAATTAAAAAACCAGAACTCCTGAAGTGTTTGTCATGTTCTGACAATAAAGAGTAGTCTATAACCACAATTAATGATCTAGTTTCTACAACTTTCACTTGGGAGCAAAAATCCACCTTACAAAGATTTGACATTTATTGTGAAAGTTATCGATATCGACTGATATGAAAAAGTTTATCGTGATAATTATTTTGGCCATTTTTCATTTTGTAAACCTGTTGTAGGAGACATCCAAAACAAAATTAGGAGCCTTTAAAATGGCATAATTGGAGCACTTTATCACTGACTATGGGAGTTCACAATACATACAACAGATTTTTCAGACAAGTTTGCAAAAAATGCAATGCAAGTGATTAATGGATTCTCTAAAAAGCGTTTTATAATTTTGTTCTTAATATTTTAAGTTGTAATTCTGGTTTTATAAACTCAATAAAGCTGTGCTGTACAGTGGTGTGAATAAGTTATTACCCCCATGCTAAAGTTGCCTAAAAAGAGGAATAAAAAATCATCTTTTGGAAATTGATCTTAATGCCTTAATAAGAAAAATGAGGAAAAATCCAACCTTTAAGGACACCAATTTTCTTTGTGTATGAATAATGTATCATAAATAAATAAATGTTCTTCCTTAAAATACAGGGTGCATAAGTCAGGCCCCCCCTATGTTAAATTCCCATAGAGTCAGGCAGATTTTTATTTTTAAAGGCCAGTTATTTCATGGATCCAGGATAATATGCATCCTGATAAAGTTCCCTTGGCCTTTGGAAATAAAATATCCCAAATCATCACATTCCCTTCACCATACCTAGAGATTGGCATGGTGTTATTTCAGTTAGCCTAATAGCTGGTTTGATTTGCATTGAAAGATGATCTTATGGAAAGTACCCCATGCCAATCTCTAGGTATGGTGAAGGGAATGTGATGATGTGGGTCTATTTTAATTCCAAAGGCCAAGGGAACTTTATCAGGATGCATATTATCCTGGATCCATGAAATAACTGGCCTTTAAAAATAAAAATCTGCCTGACTCTATGGGAATTTAACATAGGGGTGGCCTGACTTATACACCCTGTATTTTAAGGAAGAACATTTATTTATTTATGATACATTACTCATACACAAAGAAAATTGGTGTCCTTAAAGGTTGGATTTTTCCTCATTTTTCTAATTAAGGCATTAAGATCAATTTCCAAAAGATGATTTTTTATTCCTCTTTTTAGGCAACTTTAGCATGGGGGTAATAACTTATTCACACCACTGTATATTGAATATAGTAAAAGTTAAAAAAAGTTAGTCTTTAGTTGTGACCCTAAACTGTTTAGTAGTCCTAAATTGAGGCTGTGAGTCCCTCAGTTTTGCTAATCCTATTTCTGCTGATCTTAGGTCTCTGTCAGAAGCCATGTCTGTGGAGAAGATCGCTGCCATCAAGGCTAAAATCATGGCCAAGAAGCGCTCTACTATCAAGCCTGACCTGGACGATGACATCACCCAGAAACAGAGAAGCTTTGTGGACGCAGAAGTAGACGTGACCAGAGACATTGTGAGCAGAGAAAGAGTGTGGCGGACGAGGACGACGATTTTACAGAGCAGCGGCAAGGTGAGCGGAGTACCCTAATTTTCATAATTTTACCCAAAACACAAGGGCTCTTCAACATACACTCTCCATTTAAAAAAATAGATGCCATCATAGTCCCTTATCTTTTTTTCCATGAGAACAATTCAATTTTGTAATCTCTATTCAATAATTATCTCTTTTGTCAGAGTAATATCCTTAAAATGAATTCAACTGAGTTGCAACAAAAAATAGTGAAAATATATTTCAAGTTGTTAATCTATGTAAACAAATTGGTCATTGTGTGTGAAAATTAGGGATGCACCGATACTTTGCTTGTGTTCTCATTAAAATGCTCCAATACAGCGCAGCGTGGGAACAGTGCTTGTGACAAAGAAACACAAACATTGAAAAAGTCAGATTTTCATTTGTCCCCTTTAAAAAAAATGGATCTGCTGTAAAGCGCAACACAAGGCCGTTGGTGCCCTCTGCAGGCATTTATTATAATACATAATGTACATAACAGGGCTCGAAAGTGCGAACATTTCCCTCGCATTTGCTACTAAAAATAGATGCAAACTGGAAAATGCATTTAGTTGCACGTGTGCGAATGAAGTTTTTATTTGTATTTTTTAACACATTGTTTTGGAACTAAGACAGGGCTCTAGAGTGCGACCAAAATTTGTAAGGGTGCGACGACAATTTTTCCCAGGTCTGCTGCCTGAAAAAAATAAAAAATAATAATAAATTGTTTTTTTTTATATATGTATGTAAGAAAGTAGTAGTAGTAGTAGCCTTTATTGTCACTTAGTCACAAGTACCAGTGAAATTAGCCATCAACCTGTCCATACAGACATACATACAATATGACAAGGGGGTAGACAGGACAGGAAGACAGGGCATTGAGGAAGAAAATACAGCATAACATGAGGAGAGGTTAGGAGGAAAAAGAAGGCAACCCTTTTAACCCCCAGACTATGCTCATGTGAGGAGTACAGTTTGGGAACAGTAAAAAAACACCTCAGCAACATTAGCACATAATCGGTACACTCTACAACATGAACACACAAGACTTGCAACGGGAGGGGAGTGGGGGATGGAGGTAACCCAGCACAGGCAGGCAGCCATCCGGTCCTGCAGCCATTCTCGGCGCTGGTCACAGACCCGCCTGTCAGGCTGGTGGTACAAAGCGTTGAAGGCGAGGAATGGGGGGTGATTGCATATGTGTATATATGTAAGAGTTCGTGTATGTGTAGGCCTGGAGTCGCTGCGCCTGGCATCATAATCTAGGTGCCTCAAGTCCGCAGGATTGTCATAGCTAAAATAACCGATAAGAATACCGTTAAAGTGCAGTATCGGTAAGAGTAGTAATACCGTTAAAACCTGATCTATACCAATCCCTACTCCCCGGTCAATGCTCCGACAACAGCCCAGACATGGAGCTCCTTCAGCCACCAGTCTCCTCAGTCACTGGTAAGATGCCAAGCCCTGGTCCTTCATCGGAGATGGCATCCGACTCAAGAGACAGAGGTAGAGCCTACCGAGCCTGAGCTAGAGACTCAAAAAAAGTGAAGCACTTTAAAAATATATATATATATTTTTATATATAGTATAATTGTGCTCAAATAAAAAAAAAAGTATTTACCTACACCTTATTCTTGTTTAAAATCATTTTACATAATGTATATGAATGTATATGGAGCATGATAAAAAGGTGACCTTGAAATTGTGGCATTAAAGGTGACGCGTGCCGAGGAACAAATTGGGTGCACCTAAACTTTGTGCTGGTGCACCTAAATAAACAAGTTAGGCGCACCAGTGCAAACCAAGGCAAAAAGTTAGTCTGGAGCCCTGAAAGATGCTGTAAGGGCCGCCGAGCCGTATCATGCAGTGGAAAATTGCTATTAATGTACTGCCAAGGGCTGAAGCAAGCGGGCATTTGTTTTGTTTTTTAGCACTTTAATTACTTTATTGAGGTGTTCATGCTGTTTATACATTTTGAAGTAAAAATAATTACATAATAATTAAAGGGATAGTTCACCCAAAAATGAAAATTCTGTCATTAATTACTAGCCCTCATGTCGTTCCAAACCTGTAAGACTTTCATTCATCTTCGGAGCACAAATGAAGATATTTTAATGAAATCTGAGACCTTTCTGTACTTTCCATAGACGGCTACGCAACTACAACTTTGATGCTTCAAAAAGTTGATGAATGTTTATATGTGAATAAATGCTTAAATTAAATCTGTTCATCAAATAAAGTGATTGTGTCTCTTCAGAACATTTGGACTAAACAACTCAATTCACATTCATTCATTTCGCCCCTAAAAATCTTTCTGTGCTCCTAAATTTTCCAACTTGGGAGCACATGTGCTCCTTCTGAGAAAAGTTAGCATCAAGCCCTGCTAGAGCTGTCACGATAACTACTTTTTGTTGTGCGATATATTGCACCAAAATTAATTGCGATAAACGATATTATTGTAATTTTCAGACCATTTTATGCTACTGATTACATAATGACAATATAATAGCATAATAATGCAAGTACACTGTTACAAAGAACAAAGAACATTTTATTCTTATTGATTCAATATTTAAAAATATATCCCAAATAAATAAAACAAGTAAATAAATACACTTTCGTTAACAAAAAAGTGCAAGGTATCAAGAACTAGATCAAAACAAAGTAATATGTCAATTTAAACTTTTAAAGTGTCTCACACAAATGCTGGTTTTTCGACTGTGTATTATGGCTGCATTTCTTTGGCTATTTAGCGAGTTACGCTGTCGCTATCCGTGTGCGCCATATCACGCTGTCACGTTTACATTTGCACTGTCGGGAAAAGGCATCTGCAACAGATAACTGTCTGGAAGAAGGCCCCTCTCCAACTCCAGCTGCAGTTGTTGTTCCCAGGTTGAAAAACTGGGTGGGATGGTTATGTTTTAGGTGCGATTTTAACTTTGTTTGTTGTGTTGCCTCTTTTCGTTGCTACTGTTTTAAAACACAGTCGACATACCGGCTCGTTCACGTTAATTAGCTCTCCTCTCTCGTTCGGCTTAAAGCCAAAATGTTCCCACACCGGAGCTGAAGATTGCGGCTTTGAAATCAATTCCATGTTGGACTCGTTCTTCCTAACGTTCTTCCTAACTTTCTCGCTGTAGATATCACGAAACAGAACACTTTAAAATGCAGTTGGTTCACGCCTTCTCTTCACCTGACGGTGTCCTCTCTCTCTCTCTCTCTCTGTGTGTGTGTGTGTGTGTGTGGACACGCTGCCTGAGCCCCGCCTCCGAGGCTCCGACACAGAGTGCAGACATGACGACAGGCAGCGCGATCAACTAAAATGTTGGTCTTGGTGACATTCATTTTAATGTAAAAATGAATCTAATTATTATTTTTAATAATAAAACAAATTATCAGTTGCAATATATCGCGGCACCAAAAATGATGGCGCTCATTTCCATATATCGTGCGATAAGTCGATATATTGACTATCGCGACAGCTCTAAGCCCTGCATAAGATAATTTTATATAATATTATATACAGTAGTCAACATTTGAAGTGGAAGAAAACCTTTCATCAAAGTTATACATGAATTTGAACAATACCCGTTCTTGTCTTAGGACAACTGATTAATTATTTCAAATGTTGACTACTGTATTTTAATATTTTAACAGGTTGTTCTATAAAACCATATGATTACTTGATTTTGATACTATTGAACTACATATAATAACAATGAGGCAACAATATTTGTTTAAAATAATTTTAAATGCTATTATTTGCTTGGGTGTGTTTTTATTACCACAAACAAAATACCGGATTAATCGTCAAAATGATCGATTACCGAAATAATCATTAGTGACAGTCTTAAACATTTCTATTGAGCTCACTGCAATCATTACACACATGACTGGCAGTATTCTGTAATAAAGCAAGGCAGGCAATTTTATCAAATATATTATTAAAAATAGGAACAAAGCAAAGTACAAATACTAATTAAAAGTTACAATTTAAAGTTTATTTAAAGTGTATATTTTTCTAAAGGATTATTACACGGCTCTGAAGAATACTAGATTCTGATTGGTCAATCGCACCATCCAGTTCTATGTTAGTCCTCAATAACAACCCATTGCTAGGATTGCTTGGAACGGGTTTTCCTCGTGGAAGGTTTGCATTTGGTGAGCTAATAAAATTAAAACTCAATTTAATATTTTGTGTACAGTTATTTGTCATGTTATCGTGGACTCGCTCTCTCTTATATCATACAAACGCATCTGCTGCCATTTTGCGACTTGTTTTGTACACTGTAATTGATTATAAGATAACAAACAGATACGATTTTAAAACCGTTTCATCTCAAATTATCTCTTATCCCCATAATTATTTATGTGGCGAAATGCTGTGTAATATGTGGTATGACTGTATACCGTATCTCTTAATTATCCGTCTAGTTTGAATTTGCCGCTTGCTAGCAATTGCTTTCTCTGTGGAAGCTTAATATTTAATGTCTAATTATTTACTTGTGTGGCAAGTAGCCATGTAATAGGCGGGATAATATACTTCCAGCCGGTTGTTATCACAGAATAAACCCTGACGGTTTAACAACCCTGATGTGAAGAGGAGGATATGCATTATCTTCTACTTTATCTATTTATTTTATACAGTGAAAACTATTCAGAATTTTACATTTGATTACTCTATTAAAATTCTGTGCCTGAAAACTACTGTAAGACCGACTTTAAAACTTAAAAAGCATTATTTCATTTGTATCTTTGTTCTATTGTATTTATTTGTATAGCAATTGAGCCCTGCTGAAGCAGCTCTAAATATCTGCTGTGCTATTAAATTAAAGATAAAATCTGATAGAGCAATAGAATGAATAGTGAAAGTAATGCATTTTAACAGGCAGAATTAAGCATGAAATAGGCTAGTTTTAAACCACACGCTCAAATACTCACTAAGAAGAGGGCTGAAGAGATGAGCCCATGTAAGTGGTTAAATGTACTTGCACCTCAGAATGCTTTTATTACGCAAAATTAATGTAAACACAGCCCACTGCGAACACCCTTGTAATTTGCTTCAACCTTTTCGAACTTTGCTTTAATCTTCCATAAAATAAAATCTTTCATAGTGTTTGTAAGGAATTGGAAGCAAGTAGAGTACGGCTGTTTCTAAAGCACGCAGCGTCATCTGCTGTTAAAAACTAAGCTCAGAATCGTTTGAAGAATCGCGATGCATCGATTTGTCCCAGACCTAGCGAGTACCAAAAAGTATTGGTACCGGCTTCGTTCTGGAAAGTGGTACCGGTGCATCCCTGGTGAAAATGTATTTACTTTTTCAAAAATATGTCCTATAGTTAAACTATTATTGCCTCATTAAAATGATGTAACTATACATGTGGGTTTTTATCTGGGTGTATTTGACACTAGTGTTACAGTGTTTATAAATCATAAAATGGTTGTCCTGCAGGTGATAGTTGCATTGATCAAACTGCTAATCTTGTTTTTATGAAGATTTGTTGTAGTCAATACTTGGATTAAATCATATTTGTTCTGCTCACCCAGTTTTATTTACACGGTTACAGTCAATAGCCGTGTTTCCACCGAAATTACCCGGAACACTTTGTCCCAGAAACTTTTTTCCACCAGACCTGTTGCTGTCTAAAGTACCGTGTAGATTAGGCAAATTAGAACAATGACGTAGGACTGTGTGCTACTTAACAGTTCCTGCTGGATTTCATCTTCTGAATTTAAGCTTAATAAAGGCTGAACCTTGTTGTCGTTCCATCTGTCGCATTTTTTTAACTCCATTGTTGATTCGAATAGCGAACTGTTACTGCCCGCAGGCAACAGATAAAAAAAAAAATGTGGATGAAATAAAATGCTGCGTGGAGTCATTCAATCAAAATGCAGCATGAACTCAACTAATCAGCATGTTAAAGGGATAGTTCACTTTGAAATTAATTTCTGGTATGTTTTAGCTTACCTCAAGGGCATCCAAGATGTAGGTGTCTTTGTTTCCGCAGTAGTTTCAATTTTGATATTTTTAGGTCAAACCGTTCTTGTCTGTCAGTCATATAATGCAGGTCTATGGTCACCACCTCAAAGAGCATGCACAGAATAAGTCCAAATTAAACATGATTTAATGACTCGTAAATGTAAGTACACATTGATGGCCTAAGACACGAAACGAGCGGTTTGTGTGAGAAAACAAACAGTATTTATATCGTTTTTACCTCTTGTAACGCACAGTCCGAAGCGCCCGTGCCCTCAGATCACTTAGACGTGGCTGTGGTTACAAGAGGTAAAAACAATATAAATACTGTTCGTTTTCATGGATGGAACACAATGTTGTATTTTAGGAATTAACCACTGATAAATGCTAAGGCACTAGCATAAATATATGAATATTTTATCGTGGTGTGGTGTCACTATTAGTGTATTGATCCCAGGATCAAGCTAATTTTCAGTGTAGTAGACCTAGATAATTTACATGCTGCAATAATTGTAGCACTTTTAATAATAATGTGTTTTAAAAACAGTATGGTCAAAAAATGTAATGTCACAATCTCATAACTTGGTTAAAGTCATGTTTGTGGGGTTACATTTTGATTGACGATGAGTTGTGCACAAAAGTGTAGGTTAAGAATATGATCTCCTGAACATGTTGATCTTCTGATTTTGTAGAACTTCTCCAAAAATATATTTGCCATCCTACAATCAGTGAAGGCGCGGGAAGAAGGCCGGGCCCCTGAACAGAGACAGACTCAGAACCAAACTCAGGTGGTGAGTACACAACTAAGCTGCTTCAATAGCATGAGAATGTCTGTCTGTGGTGTCTGCTTCCTTTTCACCTTTATGTAAAATAGATGTTTGTTTGATAGCACTACAAAGGGTGTTGTGGAAAAATTAATATTTTAGTTGTCATTTGCTTTTGTGTGGGTTTTCTTTTCTAATTCAAACCTGTATTTCTCTATAGAATGTATGCCTGTAGGCCACAGAACAAACACACACACACACTAGTGCTGCCGCGATTAGTCGACTTAGTCGACGTAATCGACCATGCAAATTAGTCGACGGCAATTTTTTTAGTCGACGTGTCGTTTTACTATTGACCGCTATTTATTTTTGGTCTCCCGTCACAAACGGCTCACTGTAATTCACCTCCACACACCAGTCTGTGCGCCCTGCTGGTTTATCTGCTATCATTTTCCTTCACGTTCCCGCCCGCCTTCACTGCTTTGATATGAAAAATTGCGGAGGCAGGTGACGGAGCTTTCACAGTGGGCTCGTTTGCTGCGGTCCGAGTCCGAGCGCGAGCGCGATTGTTCCCGGCGCCCCCCGCAGCGTTGGTCTGGTTTCACACTCAATTCTATCGAACCCTGTTGAGTTTGCGTGCATCTTATGCCATCGCAAACGTGCACGGCGCATGATAGAAAACAGAACGCAGGTCAATATATTGTGTTTTTCAAACGGACTCTTTTGAGGAGACAGGATTTCCAAATGTGTTGCCCTGATTGCACGCGCAATGCGCGAATACACTGCAGACTCAACTCTCGCGTATCCAAGGTAAATCATCAACACTATCATCCCTTACATGTGTTTTATTTAACTAAATGCATCATAATCAGCTAAAACGCATGGGCAGGTTACTTAACTTCCTGAACAAGCGCTCCCGAGTCCGTGTTGCTTTCACATTCACGCGAACCGCGGCACGTGCCCGCCATGCACGCAAGTGTAAACGCGAGCTACATAACTGCGTGCCTGACTGCTTTCAGCGCGACTCATAGTGGGCTAGTCCAGACTCTTTCAATTCAATTCCAATTTATTTGTATAGCGCTTTTCACAGAAAATGCATTGCATCTACTTTACTATTCAGAGTGATGTTATCAGTTATGCTTTTCAGAAATGTAAATAAATTAATCATTATTAGCTTACTGTACATTTTTTAAGGCAGAACAAAGAGCTAATTTAAGTAATACATACATGTTTGTTATTAGAGGATTAGATTAGGACTCTGACAAATATGGTATAGCCTAATGGAAATGCAGTAATGCTTAGATTGTTAATACATAATGTTTTTGAACAGGTGACATTTTATGTTTTGGCCCTTCAGTTGAATTCAAAATAAAATGGACACAACGAAATAAACACTTGATTTTTTTTTAATTAGTCGTTTAGATTAGTCGACTAATCGAAAAATTAGTCGAAAGATTAGTCGTTAGAAAATTAGTCGTTAGTGGCAGCACTAACACACACACACACACACACACACACACACACACACACACACACACACACACACACACTTAAGCAAATGGTTAGACAGAGCCTCTGAGTTTGTTAGCATGGGTAATCAGGAAAGACAAAGGGTTATTCACCCTATTGACCTCACAGGTGTAAAGCCCAGAGAGAAGGGGGGGTCAGAGAAACCATCACGGAAATTTACAGGAGAAGGGGCTCTGAAGAGAGGGGTATAAAGGCGGTATGATTGCTGTGGGATTTCACGTCTGTGTTCCTACTGTGGGGTAGCTGCCATGGTATCTTTTGTGAACAACCTCCTTTAAAAGAATAAACTTTCTTTTAAAGTACAATTGGAATTATTGATGTCTCTTACGATGTGATGCTTGTTTTGTTCATTATTGTTTTTGCTGCAACAAGGGCCAAACAGCTCGCTCTTAGTTCATAAAAAATCCAAGTCCAGGCACTCAGTTGGATGCAAAAGTTAAAAAGCCTTTATTATTTTAATGGCTAAAACATTAGAACACCAACACGTATCGGCCCACTGGCCTTCATCAGGGTGTTGGTAACAAACGGACAGAATCAAGTCATACTTCTAGGCAGAGGCATTAGTCATTACCTGAACTATTGCCTCTAGTGGGCATGAAATTTTGTTGCAAGTGCCAGATAGGGTTGGGAATCGAAAGAAATTTTTCGCTTCCGGTTCCGCCAAACGATTCCGGTTCCCATTCAATACAAATAGTAGTACGGGGAAAATACACAATCCTTTTTGTGTTTTATTTCTGATACTTGTCAAATGAGTTTAAAGGGATAGTTCGGCCAAAAATGATATTTGACACATGCATTACTCACCCTCAAGCCGTTCGAGATGCATATGTCAATCTTGTTTCAGACGAACACATTTTTAGTTATTTTAGAAAATGTCTTCCCCTTCAGTGGATATAATGTGAAGCAATGGGGTCACCCTCCTTCAAGTCCCAAAATGTGCATACATCCTTCACAAAAGTAATCAATCCGGCTCCAGGGGGATAAACGAAGGCCTTCTGAGGGTAATCCATGCGGTTTTGTCGTAAAAATATACATATTTAAAACTTTATAAATGAAAATATCTGACTCCTGGCAACGATCGACGCGCGTTCACGGGTGATGGAAGTCGGCGTACGAGGTAGGACGTAGCGTAGGAACCGAATCAGATATTTTCATTTATAAAGTTTTAAATATGTATATTTTTACGACAAAACCGCACGGATTACCCTCAGAAGGCCTTCGTTTATCTCCCTGGAGCCGGATGGATTACTTTTGTGAAGTATGACTTGATTAATACAAAGTATAGTGTTATAAATGTACATAATAATAAAAAACTTCTGTGAAAAGGGTCCCATCTCTTACAAATTGTATTTTCATAGGCCACATTCCAACTGTCCATTTCAAAATGACTATATTATAATAATAATAATATTTATTATTATCATCATTGTATTATCTTTATTTTATTATTTTAAAAAAAATTATATTGCAACTGTAAAATTATAATTATAATTTCTTCATTTTCAATGTTAAACCCACTCTTATTTTGACAGCGCGGGTTTCCAGCAAATATGAAGTGCGTCACCATGTTCAGTGTTTCAGCATCTCCGAACCAATCACATCACAGAACATGTAACAAGCTGCTCTGAAACGCTGAAACACAGTATTCTATCATAAGCTCATGCGTGAAAATGATGAGCGGCAACCTCCCCGTCTCTCTCTTGATCCAACACGGAAGTGACTTACACTGCAAATCATCGACTGCGCATACCCGTCAGATGAAATCCTGCAGGTGTCAGTGCTTTCTCCGTCCATGCAATAAATGCACATCTTTGAATGAGCGTGGATTTCTAGCGCATTTACTTAAACTTCTTCGGTAATATCTATGGTTTGACCCATTTGAGAGGCGGCCAAAATCAGAATTTAAAATGGACTAAATAAAGCTCTCTACGAGCTTGACGTGCGATGCTGCGCTGACTGACTTGTATGTGCATGAATCTCTGTCACACGCTCAGAGTAATATTGTAAGTTGCTGCATAATAAATTAACTAGCAGAATACAGCATTACTATACAGTCTCTCTAGCTATGTCTTTTAACTATTATAGTATTTCAAATGGCAAAAACATGAACTTTAACTATTGGCTTGGCTTTCCATCAAGTCAGCTGTCACTTTAGTGCGAGGCCCTGTGCGGTCGCACACTTGGCACAGCCCTTGCGACGGTACTGCCAGTAGCATATAGCATTAGCTCCTTAGCCTGAGCTAACTTAATCATGTCGATCTAGGCTGGCGTGGTTTCAGCAACCAGGCACCTCAGCTCTACCCACATCCCGCCTCTTTGCTAATTTTCTGTAATCCGGGAGTGACGCTCTGCCAAGATGGCGACGGCCGGCTCCGCCCACTTTGGGCTTCAAAAATGCTGATGTCACGCACACTACGTCTATATTTTTTTTACTATGGTAAATGAACACAGTGCCGCACTTCACTCTGAAACCAATAGCGCAAATGTGTTATTAAATCCCTGCCTGCGCAATTGTCAATTGGACGAAGCCATATTGCAATATTGATTTTTTTTTCTTTTTCTTGATTTATCATCGAGCCTTAGTGTACCTGTTATTAAAAAAATGTCTAGTGACACTCTAATGAAGTAGCTAACCTAATCTATGTATGTTTATTTATGCACTCCAATTTGTTTTTTCATCCTATAGGATCCAGCAACAAGAAATAAACAGCCAGTCCCAGCTGCCTACAACAGATACGATCAGGAGCGATTCAAAGGAAAAGAGGGTAAGTTGGTTTTCACCAGCTTTATTTTTGACCATTGAACATGTTGACTAAATGGAAATGCTGCAGCAAACATTTTTTTATAGAATATCTGCAGATTTTTTTTTTTTTTTTAATGTTCCTAGTTATAACCTTTTAAATCATTGGCTGGGTGACCTGTTAGCGAGCTCTTTAGGTTTATGACCCACAGTTTAGGAAACTCTGATCTGAAATTTACGAACAGGGTACTTAAGTGTATCATCCATTTATGATGAAGCCCCCGAAAATGGAATTGAGGCTTACTGGAAATAATGAACTTTTTTTTCTTTTTCAGAAACGGAGGGTTTTAAAATTGACACTATGGGAACCTATCACGGTATGACGCTGAAGTCAGTGACGGTAAGTTCATATGTTATGCATCCTATTTGTTTTTGACTACCTTAGATACAAACTATGTATGGCAAATATTTTGTTGAGGTATTTTTTACATTTCTGGCATTATTTCAAGAATGAATGAAATATAATAGCATGGGGTTGTTAAACCATGGCCCCATTTGTATGACACATGGCAACTGTTTTTAAAGGAAGGTGTTTTGTTTCAGCTGAAACTGCTACTTGGTCCATAGCACATAAAAAAAAAAAAAAAAAACGTTTTAATTAAGTTGGTTGCTCAGTCAGTACTGTACATTTGCGCGTGTTGTAATTCACTGTTGTTGGTCAATTTAAAGCTGCAGTCCGGCGTTTTTTCTCTTTGTCGCCATCTCTGTTCGAAATCTGCAATTGCAGTCATTCGCGGAATTATCAACTTTATGTGAGTTGTACTTCAACACCCTCGACACGGCACAGCGTGGATGAACACAGTGTTTGAGGAGACTGTGAGGCTGTCAGTCACCGCTCCGGTGTGGATACTGTCATTCAGAATCACAGATTATTATTTTTGGAAGTATGACTAACATAAGAATTTTCACCGGAAAATGTCATCTGAACCAGGGCTCCAGACTAACTTTTCCACTGGTTGCACTGGTGCTACCAACTTTCTCAGTTGGTCGCACCAGCATATGATTTGGTCGCACCTTTTTTTTTTTTTTTGCTACATGCCATGGGATTAATCAATGCATGCCGATGAATAGTGGTTTTAATGGACCAAGGCTAGCAAACACTTTCTGTGTTGCAGCAGAAATACCTGTAATATATTAATTATCATTGCCAAATTTCAGGATTTTCATGGATTTTGGACAGTAATTTTAATCTGTAATTTTAAACATTTTACATTTGAATTAGATACAATCTTATCTATTTACATTTGAATCATATTTTATCTATCTATCTATCTATCTATCTATCTATCTATCTATCTATCTATCTATCTATCTATCTATCTATCTATCTATCTATCTATCTATCTATCTATCTATCTATCTATCTATCTATCTATCTATCTATCTATCTATCTATCTATCTATCTATCTATCTATCTATCTATCTATCTATCTATCTATCTATCTATCTATCTATCTATCTATCTATCTATCATCATTAAACATTCAAATGTATGAATTACGTTTTAAAAGATTAGAGTATTATAATAAAGTGATACAGATTTTTCATTATCAAAGTTTATAGTTGTAACAAAAAGTAGAAATCTCACACTCCTTACCTTCTGCATTTTATAATAATTTCCTTTTCCTCTGTCGAGCGATCATGAGAGTAATCGCTCGACAGAGGAAAATATAACCGCTGAAAAGACGTAGGAGGCAGGGGCTCGGTGTTTCGTGAGACCTTTTCATTTTTATATGCCTTAATTCGTGAATTCGGAATTGGCGCGTTTCACCATCAGTGTGCAATGCGCGTGACGTCTACGTTCGTCAATAAATAAACTGCACGACGTGTCTTGCGGAAGAACATTGTAGACAGAACTTCTCTCCGTTAATGTCTATGGCGAGTCACGCAGGCACTGGGCTACTCCGCAGCCGAGACGACCCCGGGATAAAATAGTCTGAATATAAACACTTATTATAGGCGTACCGTAGTGATTCAGAATAAGTCAAAAACACGGTTTGGAAAATGGATTCATGATGCCTACTCGTTCATTTTGAACATAAGTTACAGACTGCAGCTGCTGATACAACGGCGTTCTGTTGCTCGAGCGTCCACTCGCACAAATGCGACCACATAAAATTTTAACTCGCACATTCTCAAAAAATGGTCGCATATGCGACCAATTTGGTCGCAGTCTAGAACCCTGTGAACTAGTAAGAAACATCCACCTTTGTTCTGGTTCTGACATTGCAGTAAATCTAACAACCGCTCCTAAGTTATCATATTATGCAAAACCGTGCAAATTATACTTTGTTCTCAAATTGTTAATGTTAACAACATAAGCAAGCATTGCGTGACTACATGTAATGTCCTTCCGATATGTATCCTTGTTTTCGCATGGGTCCGGTTGCAAAGTCCGAACAAAGTCTTTTGCATTTTACAGCGGGTGAATCTGTTGTCACTGGTGATTGTTGTTTGAACCTTTCTGGATCCGCCATCAAATTGATAAGTTTAATCATATCAAGCGCTGTGAGAAAAGGCCATAAATCTCCACCTCCAATATTCCTCACACGCATTATAGCCTACTAGCCGAGACTCCTTCTATATGTACAGATGTGACGTAATGACGCAAAGACATGCTCCAATCTCCCGTGGAAATCCACCAGTACCACTGGAATTAAAAACATTATTACAAGCTTACCGCTTTGAATCGAGCTAAGGCAAGCAGATCGTTTTGAACACTGGCTGGTCATGTATCTTCTCAAATATGTATTTTGGATCATTTTTAACCCAAAAAAAGCTACGGACTGCAGCCTTAACCAAAAAAGTAGTCAAAGATCAAGTTAGTTTTTAGCCATTTACCTATCAGGTACAATACATAAGAAAAAAATATCTCTCAACTAATGCTGTAAAGTAAACCATAAGGAACCCCAGTTGGTACATCTTTCTAATATTAAAGGTTAAAAATGATTTATTTGTAAGCTACTTCCATTTAAATCACACATAAGGAAGTGTTTATAATAATGTTATAATACATTTTTAATGACATAATTGTTTCTATTTATTAAATGGTGTCTGTCATAAGTAGGCTAAATATAATTTATTTTGAAGCAATATTCTCATCAGCTTTTACATACTTAATACTAAAAATTCTTGCACGCGCAAGGTCTCTCGCTCGCTTTCCCTCTCTGCGCGCTACGTGTTTGGAGCACAATCTCTGTCTCGCGTGCGCGCTCGCAGTGCCGGGAGCAGTAAGAATATGTAAATAATATGTAATGTTCTGGACATTTTCCTCTAACTGCACTTCTCTTATCACTTATTTTTGTTGTGTGTTGCGTAGGGATGTGAATTTCTGCCAAAAATGACATTCGAAAATCGAGGAGCAAAAGTCGATTATCGTAAAAAAAAAAAAAAAAAAACAAAAAAAAAAAACGCACACTCACAATGACAGAAAGGGAGGCCAATTTCATCTTTAGCGATTTGTCATCAAACAAACTGTGTATTATTCGAACAATTAACATGTTTTCGTCGTTTTTTTTTAACATACCGGTAGTTAACATAGAAGAAAAAAACAATAAGCACGACAGTCCGTTTTTGCATCGCCAAACCAGATGCTCGTTAGATAAAAAAACGTAGTGAAGTAAATGTAGCCTACTTTGTTACTACCATAGACGGTTACTACCATAGACAGTAAAGGTTAGTCTATCCACCTCTGCTGGGCGCAGAGTTAACGGTCACGACAATGCTCTTCTTCTGTTGTTTGTTTACACTATGTATAAAACACTGGTATCCTAGTGGCACCTTGTGTCCCTGACAGGAAAATACCCTGCTGCGCGATCTAGGACAGTAGGCGCGCCGTCAATTATGTCACATTGGAATTGCGCGAAAATATAACGATATTCGAATAAGCAATTTTATGATCGAATTTCGAACGCAGTTCGACTATTCGACTATTCGAAGATCGCGACTCATCCCTAGTGTTGCGTTATTAAAGCATCTGATCATAGGGATTTGGATAGGTTTTCACCAGCTCTCTAATTTGGCACTCCATTCAAGTAAAAAATTGTATATACCACAGAATACTGACTGGATCAGAGACTGCAGTTTCTGCTTGACCTAAATTCTTGGCATACTAAAACATGAATAAATAAGATTCTTTTGGAGACTTGTGCTCATTTATGTTGCGTCTCAGCAATCTGGCAACCTGTGTGACTGTGTGAGCTTGGAGCAACTCTGGCCCTTAAGATACACTTTCTGGTAGGATTTCCAATTTTATTCACTTTGCCTGCAATACCCATTTTAAACGCTTGCAGCTATATTAAACAAACTGCACCTTTAAGTATTAAACACAAAAAAAACCCAAGTGTCAGTTCTTCAATTTCAGAAATCAGAATTTCTACTATAAAGCAGCAGTGTGTTCACGTTCTGACCTCAACGGACTGAGTGAAGAAATAAACCTAAAAAGATTTCCATGGCAAAGAAGGTAAAGCCCCAGAGCACACCTATCTTACGTAATCATCATGGAACGATGGCAGTTTGAAGGCGTTTAACAGCCGGCGAAAGTGTGTGCTGATGAGCTGTTTTGAACCTCTGAAACTGACACCATACAAACTTATTTACGCTTAGTTTTAGTTTGAAATTGTCACTTGTTTGCTCAATTTCGCTGGACGTATATTGTAGATTTGAAATATCGCCCATTTTCAGACTGAAATGTTGATTTTACTTGACACAAAATAGCACCAAACTTTTTACCAAGGTTTTTTAAAACCTCTGCATTTACCTGCATTTAAGTTAGATTTTAGTTAAGCTTCAATCAAATTTAACTTGCTTAAACTAATTGTTGAATTTGACCTTAGGACTCTGGAAGTATGTGTAGAGGTAGATGTTTGAGGAGATGGAAGTGGTCTCTCTTTACTGTACTGACTGTAACATGAATGTCAAGATTTTGCTGTCTGTTGAGGGTAAATGCAGCACTTGCGGACCACAAGTGCACCAAAAGGCGACCTGATTTTCTTCATTATAGCTTTTTTTCTGCTTATTTACAATCCTATAAGATTGATCAGAAAAACTAATGCTCAAAACCCACAACTGCATATTTTTATACCCATTTAATCAGTCAGATATGTGAAGATAAACCATCATTAATATTACATAATGAAAAACTGATAATCAAAAAAACAGAAGTTGTACAGAACCCTGATGTGATCTAATGTTATATTTGGTCAAATCTCCCCCCCCCCCCAAAAACTCACTCCAAAAAAGCATAGCGAAATCTGTCCTTTAACCGTGTCGTCTAGCAGGGATTGTGTTTGTTGCTCTGCAGGTGCTGCCAGTACTGGATCAGCTCATTGGGGTGAAACCCATGGGAAGTGATCAGGTTGCTGTACTTGCAGCTGGAGTACTGCACTCGCCAGTGATTAAACAGCTGATCGTTTGGGGGTGGCACTGGCTCTATCCTCAGTTTAGCTAGACAGATTCCCATATAAACGTCTTCTAAATGTAGCCTGGGTATGCTCAGAGACACCACATATATCATCTGAGCCACGTCACTTGTGAAGACGTATCCAGTTCCTGAACAAAAGGTGGGGTATCGCCTACCATGGTAAATTGCTGGGGGCATATACCATTTACTCTCTTTGTTTCGGTTTGGGGAGAAGTCTGTCATGAGATGTCCTGTGAAATATTTTTGTGTTAGTTGACCCATGGGCTTGAGGAATTTCTGTACAAGGTATTCGGTGTTGACAAACATGTCACTATCTGTCTTCATGACGTATGTCGCCTCGGGACAATACTTTGTGATCCAGTACATCCCCATCAGCGTTTTGAGGGTAAGGTTGTTGTAAGTATCCCTGTAATCTTGCTGGATGATGTCATGATGCTGTCGACTTTCATCCTCTATTGTGTGCTGTAGTTTGCTTCCCTTTCTTTGGGTGTTGTTATTTACACCAATGAAGAACAGACGGATGAAACCCAAGTCCCCTGCCATTCTTTCATTGCCCCACGTTTTCCTGATGGCGTCCCTGGCGTTCGTTTTCTTGGGCTCAACTGAAATCAAAAGCACTAAGAAAGGTGCTCTCAGGAGACATGCGTTCGGCTCATTAAGGATGTACTCGTAAGGCTCAATTTTAAGCGTCCTCGCTGCTCTCATCTCTTCACTTGAACTGATGTTCAAACCATCCAAAGCTGAGATTACATTTCCATGTGATATTAGAGGTGTAGGGGTCGCTTCTAGCTCTCTCAACCCGTTTGGATTCATCATGGTGGAGTTGTAGAAGGTTTCCATGGTTTGGAGCCATTGAGTAGCAAACGCCTCCTGGGTTATTTGGCAGGGCCAAAGGTAACGAGTAATGTAATGGCCCTGAGTAATGAGGCCTCCCACGAACACGAGCAGAATGACAAAAAGCAAACCACTGCAGAATATTTTCCTCAGCTTAAATCGCATGATCTCTTTGGGATCTTTGTATTTGTCAAGCCTCTCCGAATAACATACGAGTCCAAATATGCGGAAACCTGCAAATAAGAAAGGGGGATGCTTAATTACTACTCAAAATTTGCAATATATTTTACACATGTATATTATGGGTTTAAATATGACATATTTTTAAACGGAGCTCGGTGCACTATATTATCAGAATCGTGGAGTCCAGTCATAAAAATGGAATGTTATGGAATTTGGCATATTTTGGATGAATCAAAATTAGGTCTGTAAACTTAAGTTGTGATATGGGCTAACCCTTTAAAGACCTTTTTTATTTTTATTTCTTTCTATAAATGTGTAAATATGTGGCGTTCTAACCTTTAAAACTGCCTGTGCTTTTAAAACTGCATTTGCAGGTTCCAAGCTGGTGTCAGGTTAAACGAGAATGTTACAAATACGCATTCACACAGATGCACGCAGACTTAATATTTATAGTCTCTTTGTGGTTTAATATGCAGTCAATAGTCCATATCACGACATGTAACCTTGCAAAAATATTATTTTTACAGCAACGTGATATTTCAGTTGTATCACTTAATTGTCCACATTTACCATTGGTGCTTGGAGCCTCATGACCCTCACGGCTATATTAAAAATATTCCTGTTAAATTTCAAGCAAATCTAACTGCAAAATTTTCACATGGACCATTTTCACTTGGAGTGTATATATATATACACATGCATCAGTTGTGCAAATGACAATATTTGGTTTTCTTGGCTGTATGTTGTATTTATTGCTTGTTTTTTTTAACTCTTTCTCTTAACTATCATTGAGGGAACTTGCTGAAATGTCTAGAAAGACAAGAGTTAGTTTTACAGAAAATGGTATGTTCCAATGAACTAAAGGCGGGAAAATCATGCATTTAAGGCCATGTCCACACTAATACTTTTTCTCTCCGTTTTGGCCTTCCGTCCACACTGAGACAGCGTTTTTATAATGAAAACAAACCTTTTTGAAAACGCCGTTTTCGCGTTGTGTGGACTGTCAAAATGAAGTTTAGTTGTGACTCATATTGTACCAATAGATATTCATGTTTATACCGGTATTGTGCCTGTTATGTGCCGTTTTCAAAAATATCCAGATTAATGTAAGATGTAGCCTAAGTGTTCAGAAGTGAGGCACAGGGGAACAGAGGAGTTTGGAGCTTAATGCAAAGGCCTTTTAAAGCTGCTGTCTCCAACAGTTAGTGAGAGAAGTTGGTGCTAGTTTTAGTACCTCAACATGGTGCTAGTTTTTACACCGTTTTTGTAACCTTTGTTTTTATTTTTGCTCTTATCCACTGTTGTATGAACCTTTTGCACTTCCTTGCCTTTAAAGTATTAAACTTCTTTTGGAACGACCTTTAAACTCATGCCTGGTGTGATTTTCCTTGTGACCGCTAGGGTCTCTATCACACCTTTATTAAATACATTTTGAAATATAAAATAATATATAAATACTGCTCAAGCTTCCATTCCATTTTGTAACAGACGTTACGTGCGTGTTTTTAGCACTTCCGTCAGTGAAACGACACTACAGCCTGTAAAACGTTGAAATAAATATCAGTAAATGGCAACCTAAATAATATAAGAAAGTTAAATATTATTTTAAAAAAATGTTTTTATATTTCCTCACAAAGATGCGTCATATAGTCTACCGCTCTGCGCTTTGAGGACATGGGCAGGAAAAGAGACCATGTCTTTTCTAACATCTTCATGTTTTCTCCTGATGTTCCAAAGCAACTTTTTGGGACCGATACCGATTTTGACAAACCATTATTGGACGATTCTGATACCGATATTTGTCACTTGCTCTATATATTTTAAAGACAAAAGTTAAAATAAGAGCGTTTTAAATAAGCAAAGTAAAATAAAATAAAAAGCTTTTAAGTTACTAGCCTAGTTTATTGCTGTATCATCAAACAATTTCTAATGAATATGGATTGGATCCATTTAACATTCAGCAGGCCAACAGAACACGGATACATATGAATAAACCGTGCTTTTTAGGTAGGTTTAACAGTTTTCAGGTACAGAAATAAAGTAAACAAATATAACATAACACTGCATATTCTTCACTGTATAAATTAAATGCATATGTTATTACATTGAAACATAGCTAAATTCTACTGTCTAACTGTATACAACAATATATTTGTCACAGTTACTTTCGTTAAAGGTGCCGTTGAATGGAAAACTTATTATTCAACTAGGCCTATGCCAAGGTAAATACAGAGTTCTTTACATGGAACTGACAAACCATGAGCCTTAAACACCATTGTTTCCATCCTTCATATGTAAATCTCGTGCATGCAAAAGACCACTGAAAACCGTTGCTGTCGGGATCATAAATCTTGATCAAAATTAGCATATTCCAGTCCATGTTCTAGGTCAAGCTGTATTAACGTGGACCTGCACAGCCGAGTCATCAGAAGTTCTGCAGGTACTGTGAAGAAGCAATTTAAGCAAGCAAGGACAATAGCGAAAATGGCAGATCATGGATATAAATCGTATGTTCCAGGCTGTGCAGGGGATGTGAGCGATTTGATTTAAGTGTAATGACCTACTTTTTATTTATTCATCAAAACTTCGACAAATTCTGTGACAGACAGAATCCAGTCATAGAAACGATACTTACTGTATAATGCGGAATGTGTTTTTCACATGTGGAAATCATAGGGCCCTATACATATTAATCCTTATGAAAGTTACAGAAGTTATTTAGTCAAAAGTAGTGTTTAAAAAAAAAAAATATATATATATATATATATTAACATTAAAACGCACACAGCAGCGCAGCAGGAATATTAGATTATAATCTTGGATTATGCAACAGACATTATACAGCTCAGTGCCTTCGCAGTTAACTAATAAACCATCGATTTGTTATATCAGTCTTTCATGCTATATGCAAATGGCTGTAAATTGATAAAAAATCATGCGATAAATATCGGCGCATCTCTAATTGCTAACCTTTTTTTCTTTTTTTTTGTTAATAAAGCTTTGTGCTTCACTCGTCATAATATTCACATAAAACAGCATTCACATAAAAAAGTGTTTTGGTGCAATTGTCAAGTTTAATACCAGCTGTAAATACGGCCACAGGTGCCTGGGGTGTTTCATTTCTTTTCCCTTCTCTCATACTTCGAGATCTAGTGTACACTACAGCCTTTCTGTTGTCACTAGCTAATTGTGAGTCAGAGACTAATTTCTGGTAAACATGAAAAAGCATTCAGAATAAATTCTTGTTTACATCTAGATTAAAAAAAACTCACACACAGATGGCTTACTTCTCTTTAACCAGGATTGCTTGAAAGAATGAATCCCATCAGCACAGCGTCGGATAGACCAGCGTCAGAAAACCCAAACTGGTTTGACAGTTGACAGGGATAAATGTTCTTTGTCTGTGCCAGCAGCCCCGTACATTTTAATAGCTTATGCCATTCCAGTCTCTTCCTCCTCCTATCGTTTGCCACTCCTTTGCTTCTCATCTCTTCAATTTGCTGCTCGTCTTACTGTAGATTTCACAGATGATGTGCGATTTAGGAGGTCAGCGATTGGCCGTGGCTTTAGGTGTTCTCCCATTCATAATTTCAATTCCTAAGACCATTAACTGCCTCTCTCTTGTCGAACGCTGACCGAGACATGATAGGATGCAGCGCGGATGAAGCTACTTTAGAATTTTCTCATGTTGCTCAGGCATCCACCCCCCTATTCCTCACAGACTTTGATACCTCTTGTCTGTACAGCGATGATGCTGCTGTGTGCGGCTCTCTTTTGTGCTGTGCTGCTCTGCTATTCTGATCATTAGGAGAAAAGCTGGGGGAAGGGAGGTGAAAATGTGCAAACGCATGGCTCTGCCGACATATTCAACCACACTCACCATCCTTTCTTTCTCCATGCGTCATGCGTGAGCACCCTCCCTTCTGATTATTATTGTATTATGCCTGGTAATGTATAACTGGTTTATATTGCAACATTTTTTTCCTTTCTCTTCTAACCTGCATTGCTTCCAAGAAATGGCAAACTTCATGAACCCATTGCACTTAAAGGTGCTGTGTGTATTTTTTAGCGGGCTCTATCGACGATGTTTCAGATTGCAACCAATTTTTACAAGAGCGCTCGTGTTCCCACTGCAACGTTACAATAATAGGCTACTTTTATTAGCTTGAGTTTGAACTAATGCTCCATGCTCCTACCATGATAACGTTATATTGATTGCATTTAGCCGACATGTGATTTTTATCTAGCATAAGGCATTTCACTAACTATTCGTGTATCTTTCACAATCAGCAATGTCAACATAGGTGAATGTGTAATATGATAACGAAAACGGTAAGTGAACTAGAATGAACAATTTCAGTGTAACAGTAAGATCGTAGGAAGTAGCATTACTGTACTGAACGTGTCTGGAAATGTGTATTATAAACAATATGATAGTAGTGGGATGAGTGACGTTAGACAGTAGATCTAGTACATAAAATAAAAGGTACATCCTAAAGCACCTACTTTTTGTTATCCTGGAACAGTCTTTTGTAGTCATTTCATGTCTCATGTATGTTGTAGTTTATAGGGGTGTGACGAGACGCTTATCTCACGAGACGAGACACGAGATTGGGTTCACGAGACGAGGCGAGATGTTTGCAAAATTTTTCAGAAATCCTCAATGACAAAATTCATGACTGGAAAAATAGTATGCAGGTGCATTCTGCAATGTTGAACTAATAATCTTATAAAGTAGACCTGAAATAACATGCATTATGAGTATGAATTATCAAATGCATTGAAAGAAAACAATATACAAGCACTGTAAAAGGTTTTTATTGACTGGCTTTTCTCTGTGTGATTTCACATTAGTCTCTTCAGCCCTTACTGTACATTTAAGAGCTGATTTCTGATTGAGGCTGTGTGTGACCTCCTAACTGAACTCCTTGAAGTCTTATTAAGCGCAAACAATAAGTGCAAGTGCAGCCATAATCAAAGTTAGCACACAGACTCTTTATAATTGTTTT